GCACCTCCGCCCTTCCAGCCAGGCGCTTTGCGGTCTCCGCTTTCCGTCCTTGGTTACCAGGGTTCTCTCCAGCTAGTCTTCAGTTGATTATGCAGGGTGTTTTTGTTTCTTTTTCTTTTTTTTTTTTTTTTTTTGTATTTTAGTTGTAATTCCTGTTTGGTCCTGGGAGCGAGCCTGTGTAGCACCCACTTTTACGCCAGCCATTTTTAAATCTCCTTTTCAATAGTGCCCCGTTGTGGACACTCTGGGAAAAGCCCCCAGTAAGGGTTTAGTCGTGATAACGCCCTCTTGTGGATATTATGAGAACAGCGTCCTAGTGATGACTTCTACAAGTCTGAAAAGAAAACCCCATCCTAGATACTCTGAGAGAGAGGATTGGAGTGAAAGAGAATATTCTATAGTTGTTCGTTGGCTGGATTCTTATTTTTCCACTGTTCATTGACTACTTTAGCAACCTGACTCATTTAACAACTCTGAGCCTTAGTTGCCTCATCTGTAAATACAAATGCAGGAATTTCCTAAATGTCAATGAGTGGGTCCAGATGATTTTTTCCTGTGTTCTTTCTTCGGTTACAAGTAATTTATGCATTAGTCAATTATTTTCCTCTCTTGTGCAATTCATGTTGGTACAATTATATTTTTCATACTGATTTGTAAGGTTTCTTTGTACATATGGACATATTTGCCATATATTTTATAAATATTTTAAATTCTTTGTTTAAATTTTAAAAATCGTAATTTTTTTTTATGGCCATAGAAAAGCTTTTAACATTTTTTATTATTTGAACCATTTAAAAATGTGAAATCCATTCTTAGTTCATTTGCTGCACAAAGGTAGGTGGTGGGCCAGATTTGGCCTGTAGGCAGAGCTTGTACCCATGTACTAATATGGTCATTGAATTTGAACCATCTTTAAATTCCTAGAATAAATACCTTTTGATTATGAATATACTGCTGGTTTTGATGCGCTAATATTTTATCTAACATTTTTGTGTTCATATTCATGTCAGATTTGGTCTAGGAGAGATTTCAAACTTTTCATGGGGCAGAGATATTTTTTATTTGGCTTACATAACATTTAACATTTTTTATTTTATTTTTATTTACTTCAGAGAGGAAGGGAGAGGGAGAGAGAGATAGAAACATCAGTGATGAGAGGGAATCATTGATCAGCTGCTTCCTACATCCCCCACAGTGGGGATGGAGCCCACAACAGGGCATGTGCCCTGACCGGGAATTGAACCGGGACCTGCTGGTTCATAGGTCTACGCTCAGCTACTGAGCCACGCCAGCTGGGCCATTTAAAAATTTTTTTGAATGAATAGCCAATATTTAAAAATTGGGAGATATATTAAAAGCTAGAGATTTCTGGCTTTTCTTAAAAAATGTATCAAAACTGGGAGAATGTGGGCCCAGCTTTGCCACATTTTTACACATGTTCTCTATGATGTTTTCTATTTCATTAGTTTCTCTTTTACATTCCTCTTTGGTCTATGGTTTTCTGTTGTTAACCTTAGGATGAGAGAGAATCATTGCTGGGTGCCTCCTGCATGCGGCGCACAGGGGATCGAGCCCAGAATCCAGGTACGTGCCCCTACCAGGAATTGAACCCTGACCTCCTGGTTCATAGATGGAAGCTCAACCACTGAGCCACACCAGGAGGGCCCAGAGTTCTCTTTTATTTGTTTGTTTGTTTGTTTGTTTGTTTCTAAAAGAACCAGGCTTCGGTTTTATTGTTAAAGTCTATTTTCAGCCATGGCCGATGTGGGTAAGTGGTTGAATTCCTGGTCAAGGGTTTCAGGTTGGATCCCCAGCCTGGTTGGGCACATGCAAGAGGCAACCACTCAAAGTGTCTCTCTCATATCCTTGTCTCTCTCTCTCTCTCTCTCTCTCTCTCTCTCTCTCTCTCTTTCTCTTTCTCTCTTAGCCCTCCCTCCCTCTCTTCCACTCTCTCTAAAAATCAATGGAAAAATATCCTCAAAGGGAAAAAAGGGAGCATATGTAATACTTTCAACAATAAAGATTTAAATAAAAAAGAAAAAATATCCTCAGGAGAGGATTAACAACAACAACGAAAAGTCTATTTTCAAAAAAAAAAGGAATTTAACTTTATTATTTTCTTTTAAGATTTTCATCTGAATTAATTTGTTCCTCTTCTAACTTTTTGAAGTAAAGATTTACTTAAAATTTTTTGGAAAATCTTATTTTCTAAATAAACCATTTTCCTGCTTGAACTTTCTGTGCTGTTCCATTGATTTGTTTGTCTCCTTTCTGGGACTACATTATTATAATATTATCTAACATCTGGTAGTCCTAGACCCCTTTATCATTATTTTTCAAAATTTGTTTGGCTATTGGGCCAGATGATATCTTAAAGGCGCTTTAAGATTCTTTAATAGCTAAGGTGAAAATGCACCCCCCCAAAATCCCATTTGTCCCTTTCTTCCAAGCCCAAGAAGCAGTCCTTATTCTTCTATACAGAGTTAGTCTTTAAAAATGCCTATAATCAATCTTTTTATGTGAATATGGTTTATGTGTATAGTGTATTTAAGTGCATTTTTTTTGTGTGTGTGTGTGTCTGTGTGATGTGTGTCTATGGGCTTGTGTATGTGCATAGATACATATAGTGTGGGGCGTGTGTTTATATATGTATGAGGTATGTATGTAGTGTGTTTATTTACATGTAGGTGATGTGTATGTATATATAAGGTGTGTTTGCATATATGGTGTATCTGTTTGTACATAGAAAGTGTTATGATATGTCTGTGTGTGCAGAGTGTTTGCAGTGTGTGTTTGTATTGTGTGTAGTATGCATATGTATGTGTGTGTGTGGGGGGGGTATGAGGTGTAAAAGAGATACTAGGGCCCGCAGTCACGGGGTGCTAGAGTCTTCCGGGTATGTTAGAAAGCCAGGCTTGGTCCTCATGTTCCCCTGCCTTTCTGGGGAAAAGGCACTACCCAGGCTCCCACTCACTTTTGTCCGGAGAAAAGAGTGGCCTGCCTCTTTAAGAGAAGGAAACTGTCCGTGCCCTCCTGAGCCATACCCTGTAAAGGTGGTGAAGGTGGTGAAGGTGGTGTTATCACACAGGTCAGATCAGGATCAGAGTGGCATTGGGGTCTTTGCACTAAATAGGTTAGTTGCTGAATGGGGCTGAAGGAGTCAGGAGGGACTTGCAAGGCACTGGGACCGTTGTCCTGAGTGGGGGTGCGGTGCCCATGTGGTCCTCCAGGCCATTGACAGATGGGTCCCCTGATCCTGAGGGTGCATCTGCAGGAAGCTCACGGCTTCCCTGGTGTGGCCTCTCCAGTGGTCCCGGGCAGAGCTGGGAAGGAGCCGCTGTCACCTTGGGCACAGCACACTCTCCTTTCCTGCGGACCTCCTAATTCCTAGCGGGAGAGAACACCCCTCTCAGGGGGCATCCTCCGGCCAGGCTGGCCATGCTCGCCGCTTGCCCCTCACGTCTACGGCACCTCCAGCCTCAGGGTTCTGTCTGCATCCTGTGGCTTGAGCCTGAGGATGCGCATTGCCCCTGGCTGGATGGAGTGGCAGAGCCAGGACACCCCCTGCACAGAAGGGTGCTTGGACTCACACTTCCCAGCCAGGAGTGAGATCAGGCACAATCAAGTCCAGGGCGCAGGGGAGACTACCTGCCACTGGGTTGGGGACAGGGGAACTGGCTTGCCCTCGCTAAGGACCGACCGTGCTCGGATGTGAGGCTTGGGGAAAGGTTAGAGCAGAGCCTCACACAGTGCCAGGATTCAAGCAAGCCACTGGCCTTTGTGCGACTCAGTGGCACTTGGCCACTAGTTTGCTGATTTGGGGCTCCGTCTCCCGTTTCTGCTTCCTGCCGGTGGCCAGCTGGCGCTGGGGCATCTCATTCCCTCACCTGCATCAGGAAGGCAGGTCTGCTACCTCCACTTGCTGTTGGCCATGGTGCAGGTATGGACGCCAAGGAACAACAGAAGGAGGGTGGTCTTTGCGGCAGACAGGCCTGGGTTTACATTTCAGCTCTGCCAAGTCATCCACTCTCTCTGCTTGAGGTTCAGATTTATCCCTGGTAAATCGGGGCTAATGCTTCTTGGGGTTCCTATGAAGATTAAATGAGATGATGTGTGTAAATTGCCCAGGTTAGCCCCTGGCACCTGGCACTCAATATATATAACCTTTCTCCCTACTTTCTCTCTGGCATCCCCCAGCCCTGTCTCGAGTGCATCACGGAGCCACAAATATCCATTTGGCAACTTCTGACACTTCCCATTTTTAGACTTACAAGACCAGCGGCTTTCCCTCCCACAGCAGCGATAGTCGAGATTTGCAGAGCAGATGTCTTGGTGTGAAACTGCTCCCAGGAGGCGTCCCATGAATGTTTGCAGACAAAACTGACCTTTCTTCCAGCTCTGCCTCCTTGCAGCAGGGCCTGGAGAGGGAACGCGTCTACCCCCTCTGCGTACTGTGCGTTTCTGTCCCCTCAGATTCTGGGAGCCTGTCCTTCTGTCCCCGGGCACCAGGCTGCTGAGGGGGACCATGAGGCTGGCTGCAGCAAGCTGCCCTGGTCTGGACCCGTGCCAGCCTGTTCTCCTTCAAGAGGAGGCTCAGCGGGGAGCCGGAGAGGGCAGGGCTTGGGATGGCGCTACAAGCCGCTGGCCGGGCCCATCCAAGTGTGGAGAACACTTTTCCAAAGCCTCCGGGGCCAGGAGGGTGCTCAGGTCTGGTGATTACAGGTCTGAGCTTCAAAACCATGTTACCAACCTGGCTCAGCGCTGGCGGGGGGAACTGGACGAGCAGGCCCAGCGTGGCCGAGCGGGCAGCCCAGGAGCGGTCCCGGAGCCGGGAGCCCTGGCGTGGCCGCCTGTCCTGCGGGCTTCCGGGAGGACTGCCGTCCAGGTCGCCGTGGCTGCCCTTGCAGTTGGGGCGCCAGCGCCTCGCAGCCTGCGGCCCGCGTCTGCTCGGTCAGGTGGAAACCTCCCCATTCAAACCCGCGCGGGCCAATCAGCGCCTGGCGCGCCCGCCAGTTCAAACGCGCGTCTGGGTCCAGCCGCAGCCGGGCCTCCGGCTCCCGCCTCGCAGACACCGGCGGCGCGGGGGGCGGGTGAACCTGCTGCCTCGGTTACGGCGGAGCAACACAGACGCCTCGGGTTACCCGCTGTCCCGCCAGGCCTGGGGCCGGCGGCCATGGAGCACTCCCTGCACCGCGTCTCCCTGGGGAGCCGGCGCGCGCAGCCCGGCTTGTCTTTCTACCTCTGCACCTTTGGTAAGTGCCCGCCCGGCCGGCTGCCAGGGCGGCTGCACCTTGCGCTCAGCGCCCCATCGGGTGCTCGTGGTGATCGGTGAGGCTGGGAGCAGGGGGTCCTTCCACTGGGGGCACCTTCTCGGGTCCCTGCCTCCTGGGGTTGCCTCGGAGGGGCTCAGGCACAGCCTCAGGCCGGGCAGCCGCTGGGCACCACCTGCTGCCTGGCCACGGTGCCAAGTGCACTTGGTTCTGCCTCACTTGGCTGGAATAATCACGCCCCAGCTAATCTCTCAGAGACCCAGGTTGTCGCCACCGAGTTTCCCATTAGTAAGCAGCTAGGGTTTAATCAAGGCCTTGTTACTACATCCCCAGGGTCTTCTGCGGGGTCAGCCCAGCCGCGGCTCCTGGGGGCTCACCTTGGAAGCTACAGTGTGACTGCTCTAGTGGATGTCTGGCCCACAGCTGAGGCGTGACCAGGCTCTGGGCAGGGGCACAGGGGCTGGAGGTGGAAAGAAATGAGCAGATGGCTGCTGTCCCCAAGCCTCCCCAACAACTGCTGGGCAGCAGCTGCGCCGCGGTCTGGACAAACCCCGCCTTCCAAGTAGCTATGGGAAGGATCGCAGCCCTGTCCTGGGAAAAAGCCCTTCCCAGCTCTCCATTGGTTTCCTCGTTGGTTCTGCAACTCCCCGTGGAGAGGGGGCTGCATTTCCTCTGTGAAGATTGAGATCCAGAGAGAGGAAGGGCGCCCAGTGCACCAGTGACAGAGTTGGTACCGAGCACAGGCCTTCTGAGACCTTCTACCCTTTTCTTGATGAAGGTTGGGGCAGTTACGGCACCATGACTGGACTTGGCTTAGAATTCAAAGACAGAGCGCCCAAGGAGTCAGGCCCTCCTGGGTTCCAGTCCTTCTGCGCTCAGGCTACCCCGCCACACACGTGGCTGTTCTCAACCTGCCTTTTCCTCCAGGAGCAGAGGAAGTGATGGAAACGCAGTGTCCTGGCCCCTAGAAATGGCCTGTGGTCTGGCATTCCCCGGTCCAGCTGGCGGACGGTAACGAGAGTCACTAACTAGCCACCATTTGTTGAGCTCTTACCGTGGGTCCTGCCTTGTACCAAGTTCTTGACCTGCATGATCTCATTTAGTCCTTCCAACTCTCGGAGGCAAATCCTGTTAACCTCACTGGGATGTGGCTAATTAGCATCCAGGCTGATCCGCGTTGGTGGGTCAGGAAAGTGTCCGAGGCTGTGAGGCCCTGTGACTGATGTTAGCTGTGCCCTGATGAAAAAGTAAAACGATGTTGCATGGTGTTTTCTTCTGTATTAGCATGGCAAGTTGTATTCATTATTGAAAACTTAGTGGAAAGAATCGCCTGTAACCTGACCTCCCAGAAAAGACTATTGTTAACGTGTTGGGTTATATCCTTCCAGACTTCGTTCTCTGTGTGTATGGGGGAAGTTGTGTCTAATTTGAACAAAATGGAGATCATATTGTAAATACAGTTTTGCAACCCATTTCTTTTTCTTACTGGTATGCTGTAACTAAAACCTACTTGCATCCGTCCACATGCTTCCATGGAATTAATCTCCCAGCAAATCTAGGCAGTTTGGGGGGAGGGTCTAGCCCAGCAGGGAGGGGTGCCCTGCCCAGCCATGGCCTCGGGGCTGGGTCAGATGGTACCACGGAAGGTTCCTACTAACTAGTGACTGATCTGAGTGTGCAGGGGGCAGGCAGGGACCTGGTGGGGCGGGGAGTCTCCTTCTCCTATGTGTGCAGTCTCCTCTCAAATCTCAGAGTGACACTGGAAAAGTTCTCTCCTGTTTTCTGAAGTAATAACTCTGTTTCCATGACAAAAGCCACCCCTTTTCCAGGCTGCTGACTTTCTTCATGATCTTTGCTTGACTCCTCGTGAATGAAGATTCAGATCAGTGGGTACTAATCTGCCCAATTATCAGAAGCAACCGGGGAGCCTGTTCAAATAACGCGGACTCCTAGGATCTTCTCCCAGAATTCCCGGTGTACTAGGTCTGGGGTGGAGCCTGAGAACCTGAAACTTAAAAAAGCCACAGAAGTACTTTGGCGATCAGGCAGGTTTGGAAGCTATGGATTCAGGGTCAGTTTGAGTCGCCAACATGGACTCCCTTAACAGGAAAACTTGGCTACATTTTTCCTCTGTTCACCGGCCTTTATCCAGCCTGACCAGTAGCCCAGGCAGCCTGGCTTTGTCCTGAATGAACCAGATGAAGGCACTGCCTCGCCGGTAGTTTCCTGAGCAAAAATATTTAAAGGGAACTACATCCAGCTTCTCTGGAACCACAGAGACAAATTGTTTTGACCAGAATTCTTTTCAGGGAGCATCCTTTGTGGCATAAGGTGGTTTGTTTGTTTATTTATTGATTTCAAAGAGGAAGGGAGAGGGAAAGAGAGATAGAAACATCAATGATGAAAGAGAATCATTGATTGGCTGTCTCCTGCGCACCCCCTGGACATGTGCCCTTGACCAGAATTGTACCCGGGACCCTTCAGTCCACAGACCAATGTTCTATCCACTGAGCCAAACCAGATAGGGCTGTGGTATAAGTGGTTTATATACTGTGTGTGCACCCTCATGAGTATAAACCCTTGTCCCCCAATGAGGTCATGTTCAAGTAACGTTAATTGGCCCTTCACGGCCTTCTCAGGAGGTAACCTGGCTTTGAGAGTATAATAAACTGGGGCTAGAACCCATCTACTCCAGAGGGATTTTTATTTATGAGAAATAATGTAATTTGAAGAAACCATTTTAGGTGTACATAAGTTTTTCCTTCAGGATTATATCTTTTAATGTTATTAGTATATTTGCTAACATGCTCTTAAAAATCTCAATAACTTCACTGAGATATAACTTCCATACAATTAATTCATTTAAAGTGTACAATTAAATGGTTTCTGGTATATTCGCAGAGTTGTGTAACCATTACCACAGTCAAGTTTGGAACATTTTTATCACTCCAGAAAGAAACATTGTACCGTTTAGCTTATTACCCCTAATTTCCAGTTCCCCCTCTTGGCCAATCCTAAACAATCACTAATCTACTTTCTGTTTCGACAAATGAGCCAATTCCAGACATTTCATATACATGGAATTGTATATAGTTTTTTGTGACTGCCTTCTTTGACTCAGCGTAATATTTTTAAGATTCACTCATGTTATAGCATGTGATAGCACTTCATTCTCCTTTCTCCTCTACCTCCTCCTCTTCTTCTTCTTCTTCTTCTTCTTCTTCTTCTTCCTTCTCTTCTTCTTCTCCTCCTCCTTCTCCTTTCTTCTTCTTCTTTGCTGCAAAAAGCTTTATTGTTTCATTTGGTCCAATGCATGGGACAGGGCTTCAGGGTGGTTAAAAGAATGGCTAGTAGTTTCGGGAAGAGGCTTCGGTAAAAGCCAGACACCAGGGGATGCAGAGGGGCCCCTCAAAGGCCTCTGGGCTCCAAAGGCTCCTAGTCGTGCTGTAGGGTGAGCCTTTTGAGGACATACTCTCCCAGCCCAGCCTGGGGGCCGGCCAGCCCACGGAAGGTAGTCAGGTGGTTGCCCATCTTCTTGATGAGTTTCACCTGCTCACCCGGAAGTGGTTCTCTGGGAAGTCACAGAGAGGAGCGTCTGCGTGGGTAGAACCAGGGCCTGCAGCTCCAAAAGGGCCTGGTTCGGGCTCCTCTCCAAGGCCAGGGTGGCCTCCGTGGCATCCTGAGTTTTGCCCACGCATCTGGGGAGGCTTCAGCACGTCCTGGAAGAGAATGCGGCCACCGCACTTGTTTTGCAACTTTAAGAGATGCTCAGCGTCCTCGCCCTGCTTCTCCACCAACCTGAGGAAGAAGTGGCCCATGCCCTCGGGGGCCACATCTTCTGGGTCAAAATAGAAGCCCAGAGAGAGGAGGTGTAGGAGGCCCGCAGATGCAGGCTGGCCAGGCGGTTGACCGCAGCCTCCATCTCGGTGGAATAATTCTGACGAATTTGGGATCTTATGGTTGTTCGGCAATAAGGAGTTAAGGTACGAAAAACAAAAACAAAACCCGGTGTGCTGGCTTGAGAACCAGAGGTGGTTCTGAAGGTGGTGACTGGATGAGGCGCAGGAGAGTGGCTGGAGGCTGGAAGGGGGGACCCTGGATCTGTTCTGTCCAAACACAGTTGAAGCAAGAGACAGATCTGGGACCCCCGAGGGCACTCATTCATTTTTTATGTCTGAATAATATTCCACTGTAGAGGCAGACTACATTTTGTTTATTCATTCATTAGTTGGTGGACATTTGGATTATTTCTGGTTTTTGGCTGTTATGAATAATGCTCTTTTATAACTGTACATGATTTTGTGTGGACAAATGTTCTCAATTCTTTTGGGTACATACCTAGGAGCAGAATTGCTGGGTCAAATGGTAGCCCTAGGTTTAACTGTTTGAGGCACTGCTAAACTCGTTTCCAAAGTGGATGCACCATTTTCCATTCTCATCAGCAGTGTCTGAGGTCTTTGATTTCTCCACAACCTCACCAACACCTGCTATTAACTGACTTTGATTCTAGCAACCCTGTGGGTGTAAAGTGGTATCTCCTTGTGGCTTTAATTTGCATTTCCCTGATGATCAGTGATATTGAACAGCGTTCATGTACTTATTGGCTATTTGTATATCTTCTTTGGAGAAAAGTTTCATTAGATCCTATGCCCCATTTTTAAATTGGGCTATTTACCTTCTATTTGTTGAGTTTTGAGAGTTCTTTATATATTCTAGATACAAGTTTCTTTTCCAGAAGCCTCATGTTTGAGGATATGTAGCTTTCTTTTCTTTTTATTCTGTTCAAAATATTTTCCAATTTTCATAGTCATTTCTTCTTGAACCCATGGGTTATTTAGAAGTATAGTTCTTAATTTCCAAAGATTGGGGATTTTCTAGTAATCTTTTTATTTTATATCTTATACAGTATTTTACTCAAAAAAAAAAAAAACATACCCTGCAACCTTTCAGTCTTTCTATGGCTCAGCACATGGTCAGTTTTTAGGAATGTTCCGTATGTACTTGAAAAGATCTGCAGTGGGTGGGTCTAGGGTTCTTTGTAGATGTCAGCTTTAGGTCAAGTTTGCTAATTATGTTGTTCAAATATTTTATATCCTTGCTGATTCCCGCCCCCCCCCCCATTTGTTCTATCAGTTACAGAGAGAGACATGTTAAAATTCCTACTATAATTGTAAATTTGTCTATTTTTCATTATAGATCTGTCAGTTTTTCTTTTATATATTTTGAAGAAATATTAAGAGCACACAAATTTAGAGTGATTATCTTTCTGGTGAATTGAGGCTTTTATTATAACAAAGCCTTTTATTATTATGAAGTCTTTTATTGTTGTGAAATCTTTTTATTTCTAGTGGAGATAAATTTTACTTTTGCTGACATTAACATAGCCACCCAGCCTTCTTTCGGTTCACAGTTGCTTGACAGATCTTTTTCCATCCTGTTTCTTTCAGTCTTTCTGTTTCTCTGCGTTTCGGTGTGCTGTGTCTTTTACAGGGGGTAGGCACGGAGTTTTTATTTTTCTTCTTAATGTAGACCTGAGCTGACATCTTCCTTAAAAGAGATCTTTCTTTACTTCTGTCAGGTGCTTGAGGTCACTAGCAATCTGGAATAATCTTAGTTGAATGTTAGGGATTGAGATTGTTTGAAGTTGAGCTGCAATCCCTTGAGGAACTGTTTTCATCTTGGCTAATTCTGTTCCTAAGAAGCAAGCCTTTATGGTTCCAATCCAAAACGTGGGGGCTCAGAAGGACAACACCTCTGGGCAGGCCCTAATCTCCAACTCCTGTTCCTTTAGTCCCGAGCCTGGGGAGGAAGTGGGAACTTGTGAGGGGCTTGATTAGCTGGTACCTGGAGCAGCTGAAGGCCCCTTCGCCTAGTGATTTATTTTTCTAGACTTGGATACATTTCTTGGAGCCTGACCTTTCTTTGGCTTCCTCTTGGCTTCTTGAGCAAAGCTATGGCACATTGTCTCATGCCTGACGGCTCTCTCTGCTCCTGACCCCCAGAGGTGCATTGGCAGATGCAGTGGTGCCCATTAGAGGGCTGTGAGTGTTCTAGAAGGCAGGCACAGTCCACAGGAAACAGTGCCGGAGTTGGCACAGAGTTCTAGTCTTCACTTCTGGCTGGGCCTACCTGGTCACTCTGGGCCCAGGGCAAGTCACCTTCCTTTGCTGGGCATGCCTGTTTTGACTACCAAACGGGAAGTTTGGGCAAGACGATTTCAGGAGCCTCAGAGATTTTTTTTTTTCCTCACTGAGGATATATTTTCATTGATTTTAGAGAGAGAGGAAGGGAGAGAGAGAGAGAGAGAGAGAGAGAGAGAGAGAGAGAGAGAGAAACATAGATGTGAGAAACATCGATTGGTTGCCTCCTATACGTGCCCTGACTGGAGATTGAACACACAACCTAGGTATGTGCTCTGTCCGGGAATCGAACCTGCAACCTTTTGGTGTATGGGGCGATGCTCCAACCAGCTGAGCCACCCAGCCAGGGCAGGAGCCTCAGACATTTGATGGAATTGGCTGATGCGGGGAAGACAGAGGGGACAGGCATGGTGGAGGGAAACGTGTCATTCTTCTTCTTGCCCTTCTCTATGCAGCTGCGATGGGCTAAGTAGGGTGTGCCCTGTACTGGGCCTGGAGCCTCATCTATTGGGTTGGGTTTTTCTGCTGTAACAGGGTGCAGAGACTTCCTGAAGAGACCTGCTTGTCAGGCCCTGAGGGGAGCTGCATGGAGAGATGCAGACTCACCTGACTTCTGAGTCAGATTCACCCCAGGACTTCCTCCTCTTCGGTCCCACCCTTGGCCTTGCCTAGGCCTCTGTCCTAGCCCCCCGGGTTGTGAGCTCCCAGAGGGCAGGCACTGGGCTGTTCAGATCTGCCCTTCCTCCCTCAGGGCTTCTGCAGGTGCCCACAAGTGTCTGTTGTATGGAATTAGTGACCACTTGTGTTGGGAGATGTCTCGATGCTGATTTCTGGGAAGGGCCGGGGGTAGGTGATAGGAATGATCAGCACAGTGGTTCTCATGCCTTGGGAAAGCCAAACATGTTCGGGCCAGAGCTGGCTTTGCACTGGTGATAGTTTCAGAAAAAATGTTTTGTGCTAAACATAGATGTCTTGGGGGTGATGAGATCCAAGCAGTGACTGCTTGGCCTTGTTTGTCTGTTTCCAACCTCCCTGTCCCACCCCACACTGGAGCGCACACAGTTTCTGTAGGAGGTTTCTCAGCGTTCGGGAGTCCCAAAGTGGTAATTGCTCAGCCCTTGAGCTAATAATACCATGGGTTCTCCTGGCGCCTTTCATCCGAGGACCGCCTCACCCTCCAGTGTTATCCGATCCCCACACAGCTCAGCGAGTGCGATAACCCCTATAATTAATTAGCTCCGCCTCACTGCCGCGGACACTGTGGCTCTGAAAGAGGAGATCGGTTGGCGCTGGCACTAGGACAGGCCTCTTGGGCCCCTGCGATCAGTGTCCTGGGCAGGAGAGCAGCAGGGATTGCTGATGGGTGGAGATAGGAACCCGAGTGGCTGGAGCTGGGATTGCTGGGCTTGTGGCTTGAACACCCTGAAGAGTGAGGAGCAAGTGGTGGCCAGGTCACAGCGGCTGGTGGATTACTGCAGAGTCATGAGACACGGAGCTTCCGTCCTTTCTCCAGACCCTGCCTGGCCTTCCTCCAAACAGCCTTGAAGCACAGGCCCAGACACCATCCCAGTTCCCTGGGGGCATGTTCAGGGATGCGCAGTGGAATGATGAGGGATGTCTCACGTTCCATGAGGAACGGTGGAAGGACTTTAGACTTTGGTCGGGAGGAGCGATCCCATGCTGCAGAATGAGGTCCAGTCAAGGAAAGTTACCGAGAAGCCACTTTTGGCTCAATAAAGAGGGGGCATTGAACAAGCAGAGCTATCTCAAAATCGAAAGGGCTCCCGCTTCAGGAAGTGAGCTCCTCGTCGTTGGGAGTGATCAAGCAGAAGCAGATGCCTACTAGGCAGGCTTGTCATGGATGGAGCAGATGCCAGGGCTATCCGGTCGATGTGTAGGGTTGCTGTAGGCTGGGAGGTCCTACCTGCCCACTTTGCCTCCACAAGGGTGGGTTGAGTTCAGCAGCTTCTTGAGGTTCCAAGGAGGGTTTATTAAAGCGCTGAGAGAAGCTTTTTCAACATGTCATTGAGGAAGAAGAGTGTGGTCCTCTCTCTCCTCTGTCCATGCTGGAGGGCCTCTGGGTGTCTGTGAGGACGACCCGATGTTGGTTTTGGGCTACCTCGTAAAGTAATGAGCTCCCTGTCCCTAGAGCGGGGTGGAGTCTAGACCGGAGAAGCACTGCTGGAGGCATTGCAGGAGGGACTCCTGATGTGGTGAAGGGGCTGTACGAGGGGGCTTCTGAGCGCCCTTACAACCCAGAGACTGTGGATTTTTGAATCCCTTCACATGAACAAAAGACCGTTCCCGTCACTGTTACGCCATTTTTCACCCAGTAAGGAGACAAGGTGAAGTTGTTTCTGTTATTATGCCCTTAGGTCAGCTGAAGCTGTCCATCGATGCCCAGGACCAGGTTCTGCTGCTCCACAGTGAGTATGGTTACATGCCCGGTCCACCAGGGAAGGGGTGTGCCTGGAGGAGGTGTTACTACGGGCCAAGGCATCTTTTCTCATCTTTGTATAGTGTCCTTCTGTGCGTCCATTGAAAAAAAGTGGGTATTCACTCAGGACTCGTTCTAGTCCTGCCTCGTTTCCTGGTCCTGCCCCGGATGTGATGGAGTTCACACACTGGCCGGCTGGAGCTGCTCCTGCACCTCAACGTCACCCTGGGCCCCAGTGGAGCAGGGCTTCCCCAGCCTCCCTCTCTGCTGAATGACCTTAAGCAAGCTCAGTTTTCTCATGTGTCAAATGGCAGCAATAATAGTACACTGGGGCCTTGACTTACGAGTTTAATTCGTTCTGAGACTGAGCTCGTTAAGGAGCTCATTAATTCAAATTACTCTGTCAACTCAATGTAAAAAATTGGCGGAGAGACAGCTGGTATCTCAAAAAACTCGTTAGTCGGGACCATCGTAAGACAAGGCCCCACTGTACCTCTCTTGTTGGCTGTTGTGGGGATGGAAGGAGTTAATATGAGCAAAGCGCTTGGGACAGTGCCCCGTATGTAAGCTGTATTTTAGTGTTTGCTAAATCAGAAAGCCACGAATTCCAAAAACAATCATTGAGCTTTGGCTCTGTGCTAGGAGTGGGACACCAAAGGGAAGCACCTATTCCTGGGTAGGCGGTGCTACTAGGATGGCAGGGAAGACTTGACAATGGGGGTGGTGCCCACACTTTATCCTGAAGGAAGAACAGGACTAAGCCAGGCAGAAGGGAGCAGGCAGGCCAGGCATTTGATGCAGGGGCAGCAGCAAGTGCAAAGAGATCAGCGAGAATACGATGCATTGGAAGGACTGTCTAATGGGACTGGGGCATGGAACAGGATCGGGGAGAGGAGGGAGTGAGCCAGGGCCAGCTGATGAAGGTCTTATGCACCACCCAGAGGATTTTACATGTCATCTGCCCATTTATCTCTTTGTTCATCCTTCCATCCAGCACACAAATAGTAATCGAGCTTCTGTAATGATCCCCTTTACTTGGACTCTGCTGTTTGGCCCAACAGGCCCTGCCTCTCTCTCCACTTCCCTGGCTCCTGCTGCTAAAGCCACCCTCCACCCCCTTTTCTGTGCAGTGACGTGAAATTCCCTTGAATGCACCATGCTTTCTAATGCTCTGTGCCTTTGCACCCTCTATTCCTTGTGTCTGGAACAGCCTGCCTTCTTTTTGAACTCTTTTACAAAAATAACTCTCTATAGAATTGTATCCCTGAAACCTATATTAACCAATGTCACCCCAATAAACTTAATAAAAAAAAAATTTAAAAAAAAGAAAGAAAAAGAACTCTCCCTTCCTCTAATTTTGCAAGACCTATGCCTGCCTTCACCATCATTAAGACTCAGGGAGGAATCACCTCCTGGGCTGTTTGTGGCTTCCTCCTCTATGTCCTCATCACAGTCCTGACTGCACTGTGTCACCTTGGTCTGTCCGGGGTGTTTCTTCTCCTCCAGTATGGGATTTCATCCCCTGAGAGCCAGAGTGACCCAGAGCTCATCAAGCCTGCATCCTCCCTCAGGGACCACACCCTTGAGGGGAAGGATGCATGCAGGAACAGTAACTAGGATACCAGGAAGCACAGACCAGCAGGCGCCTGGGATCCTGGGGTCTTGGCCTTGGGGGGCCCAAGGTGAAGTTCCCAAGGACCAGCAGAGGGGGGTTCTTTGCCCGCCAGAGCCTGACTCCAGCTGTGCAAACAGTTTTTGCAGAATGCGTGTTGGCCTCCACCGCTTCATTTGTCCTGCACAGTTTGCTTTGGCTTCACCCCAGCCTCGGGCCTTCATCCCGTCCAGCCTGTTCCCCTCTCTCCTTTGGTTTCCCAGGCCTCAGGCCTCAGACTATGGGAGCTTCATCTGAGCCAAACCCCAGGCCTCAATCAAAACCGAACACAGAAGAAAATAGAAGAGACTCAGCTTCTATCGGGTCTGCTGTCAGATTTCTGCAGACCTCAGGCCGATGGGCCATGCTTGCTTTCATACCCAGACCCGAACCCCACCTCCACTATCCCTTGCCTCTATTTATTATTCTTTTCTTCAACAAACATTGTGTGAGCAGTGCCATATTTGCCAGGTATTCTATTAACCACCTTTGACACATTATTTCATTTAATCAGCACACCTACCCTGTAGAGTGAGTAGTATTACCACAAACCCATTTAAAAAAGGCGAATTCATTCTTAGCGAGGTGAAGCTACTTGGGCTGACATGGCTAGTAAGTGGCCGGGCTGGGCTCGTCCCCAGGCCTGTCTCCCTCTGGACCCAGACTTTTGCCTGTTGTGCTACGCTGTTTGTCAGCCACAGCACAGATCACCATGCAGTGTACTCTCCAGCGTAGCCCCTCTGTTCCCAGGTCACAGTCTTGTGTGGTGGCAGGAACCACTGGCCTAGGAATTAAGAAACATGGATCTGTCACCCCATTGCTCTGTGATTTTGAACACGTTTCTTGCTATCCGTGGGCCCCCCTCACAGCCTCCTCTTCCCCTTTCAATGAGGGTTGGACTCAATAAATTTTGTTCCCTTCCAGCTGTCAGAATCAGGGGATTGAATGCACCCTATACTGCCTCGCTGCGGGTGCTGCCTGAGGGTGCGAGGTGGTGGAGTGGACTAGGCCAGAGAGGGGTTAATATCCAATGGTGGTTCTACGCATTAAGGGCCTGGTAATAATCTTTCCCACTCACCCACTCTGACATTTAAATTCTCTGTTTAGTCATGGAAGGCAAAGGTCTGATGAGCAAAGCGCCTGGCATCTGTGATCCCTACGTGAAGGTAAATGGAGGCCGGGGCGGGTGTGGATGGGGCTGGGGGTGGTGAGGGGCCATGCTACTGGACTGAGTCCCAAGGGCCTGGGGCCATCTGAGGTAACAGCGACTGCCGCCTCATTTGGTCAGTAGGCATTTGTTTTGCTCAGGGGTGAAGCCCTGAGCTAGGATAGACCTCTTCCCTTAGCCTGGCTTGGTCCCTAGGGCGTCCTGCAAGAGTGAGAATCTTCAGGGTGAGCTTGGTCACCCGCACAGGTGAGCGCAGTGAGCATGTGGATGGCAGAACTCCAGATGATCTCAAGCCCTCTCATGAAAAGCGGTATCTTCACCCCTCTCCTCCCCGGAACTGGAGGCAGGATGTCCAGATCTGGGTGGTGGAGTGGAGGGAGTGCCTCTGAGGGCTGATAGGTCCGTCCGAAAGGGGCTCTTGCAACGAGACAGAGGCCCCATGGGGTGGGGGAACTACTGGCCAGAGCCAAAGGCCAGATGCCTCCCAGAAGGTGGCAGCCTCGATGCCACGCTGGTCAGAGGTCCCTGTGGGCAAGGACTCGGTCAGAAGCAGGGTGGGAGTCTGAGGCAGGGGGTGATTGCATTAGGGCGAGAGCATGGATTGGGGGCCTTGGCAGAGTAACCTGGAGCCTCTTGTGAAGGGAGAACTCGGCCGCCGCTGGGAACTTAGACGAGAGGAAGCCTGTGCTTTGGGGGCAACCTCTCTGCTTGGAGGAAGAGCAGAGATGGTCAAGTTGTCCCCCATCTCGGGCTGGGCCTCTGGCTGCCTTCTTGCTACCACCCACTACGGGGCCCTGGAATCAGAGGTGTCTGATTCCACCCCTGGCCTGGGGCTCCTCGTTCTTCCCCAGCATCTGACTGAGAACGCCACCGCGTCCTGTGCAGAGGCTGGTGAGAAGGACACTGGGAAGCTTTTGATTGCAGATGTGCAGAGCCAGCCTCTGGGCTTAGGCAACCGTAGGGCCACAAGTAATCACCTAACGCCTCCTTTTCTCCAATTCAAGATTTCTTTGATCCCCGAAGACCAGGGGCTGTGCTGCCAGAAGACACAGACCGTTCCAGACTCCAGAGACCCCGTCTTCCACGAGCACTTCTTCTTGTAAGAACCTGGTGCAGCCGGGCCCTCGATGGGAGCGGGAAGGAGTGCTTATCTGGAAACAGCTCTGTCTGCCAAATCTAGAACTAGATCTCAGCAGAAAAACAGTGACTTCTAAAGGATGTCTTTGTTTTCTCATTCCCTGTGTCCTTGCATCCCTGGCACCTGGCCCGGCCGTGAGGTCCTCAGTGATAAGGTCTCACTTGGCTGGTTCTCATAATTCAAATGCCCAGCCTGAGACTGGCAGCCCCTGAGGAGAAGGCGACTTCCCACTGTGCCTCGGGCCAAGCTTTCTCCTTTAGCAGGAGGAATTTTCCGAGCTGAGGGATGTTTTGCCTACCCCCCTCCTTTAAAAACTCGCTAACCTCTCTGAGCCCTGGCTTCCTTATTTGTAAAATGGGGCCAATAATAGTGCCAACCTGAGAAAGCTGAGGTGTAGATGAGACAGTAACACTGAGTGTTGTCGCTATTATTTCTTTCCTCGATGCCTGAACTCAGTAGCCAATGGGAAGATAATAGACATTTTGAGTTTTTTTGTTAGTGCAAATTAATAATATTTTTTTGTGTTTTTCAAATGTCACAAGGTAATTTTGCTTATTATAGAAAAGCAGCAATTATAGATAATCAAAAAGGAGAAAAGAGAAAAATCCTTCCAGCCCTACTACTCACTGATAGGTCTTGATTTATTTCTTTTCAGATGTTTGAATTTGTGGGGAGCTGGCGTATGTCTGTGTGTGTGTGTGTGTGTGTGTGTGTGTGTGTGTGTGTTTATAAAAATTGAATTGTTCTATAATATTCTGTGGGAACTTCTCTTCTGTCCTTAATAACATAATGCAAACACTTTTATGTATGTCAATACTCACTTCCCACACTATCTGTGCTTGAGTTTTTCAAACAGCTCCTCATGTTGGAGGTGTAAGTTATTTCCAAATTTTGCAATTGTGTTGGACTCCATGGGGTCTGGTCTGGAGCTCCACTCTGCAAACACTCGGGCCTTCTGCTTTGCTTTGCAGTCCTGTCCAAGAGGAAGACGAACAGAAGCGCCTCCTGGTCGCGGTGTGGAACAGGGCAGGTGACTCCAGGTGAGGGGAACTGCCGAGCTGGAGGAGAGAGCCTGTTCTGGGCCTGTGGGTGGCAGCCAGGTGGCCAGCATGCAACAGGGGCTCAGTTAGTGGATGAGTGAATAGCAGTAGCAAAGCTAAATGGACCACCAAGTCCCCGTCACTCCAGGTGACGCCAAGGATCGTGTTATCAGAGAGCATTTGCTGTGCCCTTGGTATCAGCAAGACACTGTGTTGGCCTCCAGAGATGCCAACCTGCCTACATTCTGCTCTCAAGACACCTCCTTTCAGTAAGGGACACCAGGAGACAAATTACAGTGACAGCATGCACAGGCTCGGTCCCACAGGAGTAGAAGCTCCATGAAAAATGGGCCCATTTCTCTTTTACGCACTCACTGTACCACGTGCCTGGCATATAGAAGCCTAGTGACTATTGGTTCAATGAATAAAAGAATGAAATGAGTAATAGGACAGTCAATGTGGGCAGAGGGAGAGTTCATTGTAGGCTGAGGTGGTCAAGGAAGCCTTCGTGCAGAAAGGGGGATTTTGAACTTGGGGCAGAGATCAAGAATAGGACAAGGAGAGAAGGTTGGAAAGGGTATTCCAGGCAGGGGCACAGCATGAGCAAAGGCAAGGAGGCAGGAATATGCGTGGTGGACTCAGGCTGCCACGCGGAGGCCAGTTTAGGAGATGCGGAAATTTTGTGTAGGAGACTCCAAACAGGCTGATCTTGCAGGACGCTTGAGGCCAGTCATTAGTGATAGTGTTTAGTATAGAGCAGGGAGGAGTTCTGGGTACAGGAGGGTGAGGATCGCTGTGGAGGAAAGGGGGTGAGAGCACTTGACTGATGGTCATGGCCGACTGGGAGTGGCAGGGGCTCATTCACCTGGTGCAGTCTAAGAAATCTGGGAGACCCTGTGGCCAGTAACATTTGTCAAACAATCATAGAACCAAATGGTGACCAAAAAAGGGTCTAGGTGAATGAAAACTAGCTCAACTCACCTTCTGAGGCCCAGAACATATTTTCAGGTTGAATCCTTTTTAGTACCCTAAGTTTTATAGCTAGTATGCTTTTTAAAGTTGAGCCTTATTCAACCTTCATAAGGAAGGATTTGTCTTTTAATAGAGCACCTATTTTTTTAAATCATGGAATGGAACTCATGGTGCTGTAGGCCTCCTTCATTGAGCTGCCATTTCCTGGGTACCAATGTGGCAACATTGTCATAGGTTCTGGGGACACATGGGGTTGATCAGAGACCATCCTGCTCCCCGGAGGATCACTGATAGAGACTTGAGGGTGTGGGTGAGGAGGAGGACGTCACCTTGAAGATAGGAGCAACCATTTACTGGGTGTTGACCACAAGACAGGTGTTAATAGTGTATTACCTCATTAAATTCATAAAACGACTCTAAAGGGAGTACATGTTTTATCTTAAGTGTTCAGAAGAGGAGAGTGAAGCTAAGAAGGAAGTAACTTGCCCAAGGTCATACAGCCATTGAACAGTAGAGCCGGGATGGGAACCCAGGCAGTTAGAGCCAGAGTCGTCACTCTCAACACTGTATTGCTTCCTGGATGCTCAAGTCAAAGGACAGAAGAGAGAAACAGTGGAGTGTAGAGGGGAGGAGGCAGGGCAGGACCGTGGGTGGATCTACAAACTCATTGGTCTTGCTGGAAGGTCAAGTACAAAGTAGGGACCGGCTAGAGATAAGGTGAAGAAGTAGTCAAAAGCCCAATCTGATGAATTTCCCAAGGGCCAGTGGTTCTCAATCCTGAATATATATCAGAATCACCTGGGATGCTTGTGAGGCACACAGATTCCCAGGTGTCATATCCGAATCTTCATGGGTGGGGCCTAGGAATCTGCATTTACAAAGCTCTCGGGGAGAACCTCATGCAGCCAGCTTGGTGTTTGGTAATCTGGCAATGGGGATGGACCGAAGGGTGTTGAGCAAGGGGATGACAGATGTGCGTTCTAGATCTATCCTTCCGGTAGATCTCAGGAAGGCTGAGGAGGAACCAGGAGATGCTTGTGGTGATTGGTGAGAGAGATGATTTAGGGATAGAGGGGCGGGAAAGAGACCCAGGACATAGTTAGGAGATAAACTGATAGTACTTACTGGTGATTTGGGCGTGAGAGCAGGTGGGAGAAGTCAAGGATGACTCCTGGGTGTTGGGTGGTGTCCCAGACTGAGCCGGAGCGTCCTGGAGGGGAAGGGAGCCAGCTCTGGATATGGTGAGGTGGCGGTGCCTGGACAGCAGCCAGGGGAGGGCTGCGAGGAGAGCTGCCTTTGCTCTCCTGAGGCTCAGGGGAGAGGGAGGTCTGTGCCCATGCGCACAGGTGAAAGCCATGACCACCGAGGTGGTGGGTGAAATTCTGAGCAGGTCAGATGCCCAGGAAGAAAGTGAGTGCCCAGGACCAAGGGTCAGAACCCTGTCTTGAAGGGGAAGCCCGGAAGCGACAGAGGAGGGGGTCAGAGAAACATGTGGCAAGCCCACTGGGTGGTGGCAAGGAGTGGAGCAGGTGCTGGAGGCAGACCCCCCACTGGGAGCTGTTGCTCCCCCCATTGTGAGCCACCCTCCTGGGAGAACAGGGCAAGCCCGAGGGCTGCTGGAGGCGTCAGCAACGCAGCTCACAGTTTTTGGAAAAGAAGGTGAGGCCGGAGAGTGAGTCAGCATGACAGCATGACAGAGGCCGTGAGTGTCTCCACTTGTTGCCTATTTTGGGAAAGTGAGATTCCTTATTAACAAAACACAGTTGAACTTGTGGTCACAGTCCCAACCCAAAGCTCAAGAGGGACAGAGCGGGCTCAGACAGGCCTGTGTTTCGGAACAGAGGGCCCTGCCGAACAAAGCTGCCAACACCAAGCCACAGCTCAGGGCTCAGGGCTCAGGGCTCAGGGCTCAGGGCTCAGGGCTCAGGGCTCAGGGCTCGGCCGGTAGGAGGCGCAGTATTGATCCATCATCTGACCCAGGAGGCTTCTGAGTGGGAGGAGGCAGACAGAGCGGTGGCAGGAAACTCCTGCCCTGCTCCATGCTCTCAAATCAAATTGTGCTTCTCTGAAGGACGGACCTTCAACTTATCAACATGAAAGACAATTACAGGAGGAAGGAAACAAACATTGATTGAACTCTTCTCTGTGCCGAGCACTTTACATACATTATCTCATTTAATCCTCATAGCAACCCTGAGAGGTAGGGATTATTATTGTCCCTCTTTTCAGAGAAGAGGAAAGTGAGGCTTCTGCAGGCTCAGGACATATCACAGCTCATGTTTATTAAGCACCTAAGGTCCACTCCTCGCGGGCATTAATCTAAGCATATTCCATGCATTATCTAATTTAATCCTCATAGCACCATATAAGGTAGGAAACAGAGCCCAGAGAGGTTAAGTAACTTGCCTACGATAACACAGCTAGGATGTGATGAAAATAACATGCAAATCCAAGCAGTCTGGCGCCAAACTCATGTATTGGTAACCACATTATAGGACACTTGACAGTCTCACACAGGTGATGAGTGACTCCAAAACCATACTTTTTCTGTGTCAGTACCTGTGATCCTCAGGCTCCGGAGGAACACATGTACTTTCCATAGCATTTATAACGTTGTTTTATGTGCCATCCAGCTGAATGTGTGGCAGTTACATTTTGCAAATGATAGGAGATAAAAGGGAAGCACCAATTTCATTAATTCTCACGGTCTTTCCAGTGAGGACTATAAACTTGTATTAGGGAAACACGATGATCTGCAAAGACGTTCTGGGGGAGGGCTGGCTGATTTCCACTCTTCACGGTGCCCACAGTGGGAGCGGAGGAGAACTGGCCCAGAACACTAGATTTTGGCCTCGCCGCTCAGACTTGCTGTGAGACCGTGGTAAGTCCTTTCCCTGCTTCAGGCCTCAGTTTCCTCGTCTGTAAAATGCACCGACCTCTAAGGTGACTTTCAGCTTTCAGGTTCTGTGAGTTTTTAAGAAGCTATAGACAATTTCAAACATAGGAAAGGGTAGAAAATATCATAGCATAAACCCTCATAGGCTTAGCCCAGCTTCGTCAATCGTCAATACATGGCTAGTCTTGTTTCATCTGTGGCCCCACCCACTTTCCCCTCTTCCAGTGGATTATTGTAAAGCAAATCCCAGACATCATCTCATCTCATCTCATCTCTATATCTTTATAAAAGATGGCTTAAAAAAAAAAAAAAAGAAACCCACAATGCCATTATCACGTTTAAAAACTGACAGTAATTCCTTAATATCACTGACCGTGGAACTGAGCTGTTTAAAAGTTTTGTTGGATGATATGGTAAAAGCCAAATGGAAGCTCTGGTCATAGCATTTTCAGAACTTGGGGCCAGAGAACAAGCTTAGGTTTGTAATGTTATGCACCAAGTTAAAAACAGCAGCGGCAGCACGCACATAAGCCTGAAGGACATAATCGTTTATGTTAGTAGCACCGACATTTATGGAGAGCCTGCTTGCTCCGTGTCACATGGTCATGGGTGCTCTGCATGTGCTCTCTCCTTGAATCTCCTTTCATAAACAGGACCTCCGTGCCAAGTACAGTGCTGTCATGTTAGGGAGCTTGTGACCAGAGATGGGGACTGAGCCGAAGGAAAGAAAGAATGAATGGGAAGATGCGTTCGATTTAACCCATCAACTTAAAAATAAATTGAGATTAGATGGAGTAACCCTACCACAGAAATAGTTCAAGGTCCCTGAGACAGAATTAAAGTGCATTCCCTCAAAATAGCAATGCCTTTTGCCTTGCAGACGTTTCCTACTTTAGGCTCAAAAGTAAACGGAGCCAAGTCCTCTTCCCCGTGAGTGCTCGGGAAGCCTTACCCCTGAGCCTTCGTGTTGAACGTTCCCTCTGCCTGAAACATTCTCCCTCTCACTCTCTCTGGCTTCACTCTTCGGGCACCTTCGCCCTCAACCACCTCTTGCCTCCTGAGCTTTCATCATTTGTTGCCTGCACTGCTCATCTGTCCATCTCGCCCTGCCTAGTGACATCCCTGTGTTGCTGTCCTGAACTGCTATTTAAATTCCTGCATGTTTGCCTTATTAATGCTGTGGCTCCCTGCCCAGTGCCTACCATCCATGGGCATAATGGATTCATCCACTTGTCAAGCCTTCACTGAGTGCACCAAACCCTGAGCTCAGGGTTTGGCATCCAGAAGTCACCAAGGCTTGGCTCCTGGGACTTTGTGCCTAAGCAAAACTTCAGGCAGTCCAGGGTGCATATTCGTTCCCAATTTTACAAGCTGACTGGTCTATTGCTGTGCACTCAGGTGACGTGCAAAAGAAGTCTTTCTTCCTTCAAAGATTTTTCAAAAGCAGGTTTAAGAAGTGCCCAGTTGAAGAACACTCAGAGGGAGGGTCCTGCTGATGGACATGAATTGTGACCATTTACTCAGCCGGAATTATCATGACATCATTGGAGGCCCCTTAGCAGGAAGCAATGCTAATGGGAGGCTATTAACCATTTCGCATTCTCCAAGCACCGGGGAATGAAAACTGAACTTACCGAAGAGCAGGGAGAGGCAGCCTTCGTTACTGCTGGAGGGCTGTGCCCGGAGACTTAGAAAGTTACAGCCATGCCCAGTGTGGGAGAAACGTGTGGGCACCTAGGTGCCAGCTGGCCTGCTCTTGCATGTGTTGACAAACAGAATTAAATTGGTGATGAGGACTTTGGCAAAGTCTCGACAAGGCTTCTGTGGAATGGCAGCTCAGATCAGCATCTGCGCTTGTGATGGCCCCTGCAGCTGCCTCTCCCCGTTAGTGCTGCCTTGGCCACTTGCCAGGAGGGAGGAGTATTTGTTTTTGGTGGTGGGCTGGGGAGGGGAATGTGGAAGGGTCGCTTTGCTGGGGTGATCACCCTGTCCTCTTTGGGTTGATTATCGATATGGCCTCGTATGATGTGGGGCATATGATGTGGGCAGGCATTTCAGGGGGTTCTGTGGTGTACCCCTGGCTATAACCACCAACCTCGCTCAGGCCCCCTTAGGCCAGGTTCCAGGGAGGCCCATCTCTAGGGAGTTCACTGCCCATCTAGGAGCTCATGCCATCTTGGCTCTGCTATTGTGCCTTCCACCGAACATGCTAGATCTGTGTGTGCCTTTCAGACATTGACGTCAACCACCAGGGCTATGCTCCAGTCTAAATACCCATGTTGTTTCCTGATTAATAGTAAACCAACCTGAAGGAGTCTGAGTTGGGGATGTGCTAGGAGAGAGAATAGAAAAATTAAAAAGCAACTCTAGTGTTAGGACAGAGAACGATGCGGTAGAATAGAAGTACTTGCCAATACCTTTATACTATTTTTTTTCTGATTATAAAAGTACTGCTTGTTCCCTATGAAACTTGGAAAACACTGAAAACCCCCAAAAAACAAAACCTCCGCTAATCCCGCCTATCAGATACAATCATTATTAATTTTCGTGGGTGTTCCTCATTAACAACCATTGTGAATGTTTTGGTGGGCGTTTTCCTCATTACAGGACAGATTTGTGAATTTCCTTTTCTCTCGCAGTAGCGAGATTATTGTTTGCATTTCATTAGTGTTCATCTATGCCATCATTATTGAAAGCTGCTAAGTATCAATCAATAGTGGACAGTCTTTAAGGAACTTTGAATGACTCTTAGCCAAGAAGGACCCACCTGAACTCAGCCTTTTGCCACAGTGACATCCCCATGAGGCCTGTCCCTGGTTCACGCCTACTTGTCCCCCCCAGCCACCAGGTCAGGTTGCTCTCGTGGACTTTCCTGTTGCCTTTGATCTTGATCTGAAACTGTCCAAGATCTGCTCAGGTCTTGCCTGGACCTGAGACAGAGCTTCTTGAGCTTGTGGTCTCGTAACCTTTGTCCTCAATCGAGCATCATCAGCTAATATGGAAGCTGACATTTCCTGCGGGGACCAGTTCTTTGGATCTACTGGCACCAGAACAGTTAAAACCTGCGAGGTAGCTCTGAGCTGCTGTGGCTGATGGAGGGAGTGCTGCCCCGCGACCTGGAACACCTGGGTTTCCCACGGGACACTGCTACTAATTAGTCCAGTGACCTTGGGAAGACGACCAACTTTGAGCCTCAGTTTTTTCATCTGTGAATTGGAGAAATAACTTTTCTCCAGCCTAACTCATGAAAGTTGGAAAGGTCAAATGAGATGATGTAAACCGCAGTGCATCCGACAAACCCACGTTACACTTGATAATCGACTTCCTGAAATACCCCAGGGAAAAGGTGCTGACTTAAGCCTCTGTTGTTCTCCCAGACAGAGTGGGCTCATCGGCTGCATGAGCTTCGGAGTGAGGTCTCTCCTGACGCCAGACAAGGTGAGTCCTAGGGAAGCTTCTGGCAGGGTCATCCACTGAGGCCGAGTTGCTCTGTCTGGAAGCCATTGGGCAGGGCTTCTTTCTGTTAGGTGCCCTGTGGCCTGGATAACAATACTGTGTTTGTCTTCTGTGTGCCAAGGGTTTGGGTCCCTTCTTGATTTATTTTTGTCAGAGAGCAGTTGTTAGGAGCCCCCAAGTCCTCCCAGGAGACTCCGGTTCTGGTGTCTGCCATTGAGGACACCGGTAGGTCCCTTGAAGCTCAGAGCACTCCTGGTGCTTCCCTGGAGGAGGAGGGCCAGGTACTTACGGTATGCTCCAGGGGTCACCGTGATGTCACCTACCAGGTCTTGTGTTTTTGGGCCAAGCAGGTACCCAGGGTGGAGTGAACATCCTCCATGGAGCTATCCTCCTGGCTGGATGAGGACTCTTTGGGGTCTAGAGACCTCTCCCCTGGGTAGCTAGTCCCTCATCCATCTCTACTCTGCACTGCACCCCCAAACTGGAGGCTTTTGAACAGGAGAGGGACATGCTCCTTTTGTACATCCCTGGTGATGTCCTGAGGGCCTGCCACACGACGTTGCCAGGTGGCCCTGTCACCCAGCTTAGTGTCCTGGCAGTGAGGTCTCGGGTAGGTGGGTGAGGACCCTTCATCCTGTATTTGGGTCCCAAGTGTCTTGACTGCAACCTGGGCTTCGTTCCCTGTTGGGAGAAGATGTTCTGCCGTGGAGACTGCTCAGGAGCCTCAGGATGCCTACTTTCTGGCATCTCCCTCCACCCCTCATTCCCTCCCTTCTGTCAACATTTATTGGGCTCCTACTGTATACCAGGTGCAGTGCTAGGCACACCAGTGAGCCTGTTCAGAGCTTAGTGGGGGAGGTAGGCATGCAAGTAGAGTGTGCTTCAGGGAAAAGGCTGTGAGAATTCAGCAGAAGGGAGGACCAGCTCTGTTCATTGCATCAGGGAAGGCTTCCTGGAGGTGTAGTCACGACAGTTCCTTGTGGGGCAGAGAGGCCGGAGTGTCCATCTCTGCAGAGGTGCTGCTGCTCTGTGAGGGGTATTGGTGGCTGCCTGACCTGTGCCCTCTGCCTCCTCTGAGTGTGTCATGTCTTCTCTTGTGACAGGAGATCAGTGGCTGGTACTACCTTCTGGGGGAGGACCTGGGCCGGACCAAGCACCTGAAGGTGGCTAGGCGGCGATTGCGACCCCTGAGAGGTATATGCACACCACCTCAGCCTCTGCCCAGATGTGCTGCCACACTCCCCCCTCCCCCCCAGACCTCCCCCTTCCCTTCCTGGGTAGTAGCATCAATGCCTGTGTTTTGTGGCAGATGTCATCCCAGCTATGATCAGATGGGACTTCTCTCGAACCCCTGCTAGTATGTGGGCAGCAGGTAGCCTCTTACCCATGTACCTTTATGTATCTGGTTGGACTTGGATAGGGTTAGAGGCCTGATCCCATGTGGTTCGGTCCCACCCCTAGCTCAGGGAGGGTGGGCTTCAGGAGCTTCCTACATGGCCCCTTCCCAGGGCCAGTGGTCTCAGGATCCTCTCCAGCTGCCTTGCTGACTCACCTCTGTGGACAGGGCCGTGGGCCTGGCCATGAGTCCTGAGGTTCAGGACTTGGATTTGCATTTCCTCTGCTCTGTCCCTCCCATACATAGTCATGGCTCCTGAGCCCCTGCCTGACCCGAGCTCGGGCGTCCCCACATCCTGGAGGCCAAGAGTGACCTGGGCAGCCACGTGGGCCTGGCACTCTGGCCTGGTCCTCTGGGTGGTCTATGGGACAGACGCTTATATGCCAGCAGACACTTTCTGATGCTGCTCTGTTGCCTTCCAGACCCGCTGCTGAGAATGCCAGGAGGTGGGGACACTGAGAATGTGGAAGAACTTAAGGTAGGTGGGGACATGCCTGGGTTGGACTCAAGGGCCTGAGCATTGCTCTGGGTTCAAACCTGCTCTTGGTCAGTCCCTTGACCCAGGAGACCCCTAAACAGGGCAGCACTTGGTTCCCGGAAACTCAGCAGTTGTGCATTTTTAAGGGATTATTTCTGACGCTCCTCTCTGGTTACTCGTGCTTGGAGAGAGCCAGACCCTGGCCGTGGAAATGGAGGAATCCGGATCTTCTTGACTTTCAGCCTCTTGAAGCTGAGTCCCCCTTTCCCCACAGGTCTCCCCACACGCCTTGCTTTCCCTGGAACTGAGGCCCAGTTGGTCTCTCAGGTTAGGGCTGCTCGGTGTCCAGGAGCAGCTGAGAGTCTCACCCTGAGACCGATGGTTCTCGCTCGATCAGGGCTTTGAAACTAGGGGGGAGCCTTCACGTAGGGATGGGAGAATTCCCCCAAATTCATTCCATCTCTTGGCAGAACATGGCAGGTGATCGATCCATGGGTTTCTTCAGTAACTTAGAGAGGGAGAAACAAACTCCTGACCTAGAGACTGAGTAGCCCCGCGTGCCAGGTGCTGTTGTTGTTGAATTTAATCCCGACTCCCACCTCCGAGGGGTTTGTCACTTCCCCGTCTCACAGATGCGGGAGATGTGTACGGTTCTGAGATGTCCCTGCCCTCATGGAGCGGACAACCTACAGCCTACAGCAGTGATGGCGAACCTATGACACGCGAACTCATTTATTTGGTTGATTTTTCTTTGTTAAATGGCATTTAAATGTATAAAATAAATATCAAAAATATAAATCTTTGTTTTACTATGGTTGCAAAGATCAAAAAATTTCTATATGTGACACGGCACCAGAGTTAAGTTAGGGTTTTTCAAAATGCTGACACGCCGAACTCAAAAGGTTCGCCATCAGTGGCCTACAGCCATGCTTTCCAATATGGTAGCCAGCCACTGCCTGCCTGTGGCCATTGAGCCCCTGAAATGTGACTAGTCTGACCGAGGTCCTGACGTTTATTTAACTTTAATTTAAATTGACCTTGCACATGTATCTAGTTGCTGCTTTTGGATAGCACTGTGTTAGAGGAACTGGTCAGTTACTGTTTTGTATGTGGCTTTCTTAGTCGTTTAAAACTGTCTTTGAGCTGCAGTGGGGGGCCTGCAGTGACCTCTCTCCCTCTCTCCGTACTTGTGGTCACAGAGGACAGTGAGCAGGGAGCCTCGCTGGTGATCTGTGGGGGCCACAGGGACACCCACACTGCAGGCTTCCAGGTGCCTTGGGAAGGCCCTGCTTCTGCTCCCGGGCCTTGGGCCCAGGGCGCATTGTTCTGAGGCGCATTTGATTTCCCTGGGCTTGCACCCCCGAAGTTGTCTGTAGGACTCGGCCAAGGGGGCATGATTGTTGGAGGCTTTGTTGGGGTGGGCGAGAGCCCCCCAACCCCAAAGTCACCTGTTCAACTTGTCCATTGTGTGGATGGGGAGATGGAGGCCCAGAAACCTGGGTGACCTGTCCGCTGTCATGACAACCAAAGCTGGGCTGGATGAAGGGACACTCTCTGGCAACAAGGATGTGGGTGGGTGGGGGTTTCCCCAGGGACTCTGAGGCAGGTGTAGGCTCACCAGGTGCTGTGCTACAGGACAGGGAACAAGAATGGAGTTTTGGTCCCAGCTCCTTGCTACCCAGCTGTGTGATGTGACTGCGCCAGGCCTCCGCTTCTTCATGGGTAAAATGCGGAGGCTGGACCACCTGGTGACGGGAAACCCTTCCCAATTTGCCTTTATGGGCTACTCAGACCTGAAAGCAGCCCACTTACAAGGGTGAGGAAGCTGGCTTTTAAGTAGCGGCTGAGTGGCAGGCAGGTCCTCAGACTCCAAATGTTTCATGTTCCCTGTGGTGAGCTGGTACGTCTGAGGGCGCAACCCCCTGAGCCGGGCTTCGATTCCGTAGGCTGGGTTGATCCCCTGGATTTGCAGGGCGGGGGGGGGGGAGAGACCCTGGGATTTGCAGGGAGAGGCAGCACTGGTAGAGAGTGGGCCGTGTTTTCTGCCCGGACTCTCCTGTGGCCAGGGGTGTTTGTGAGAACACTGGAATCACCAAGTGGCCCATGGCGGAGAATGCAGCCAGAACAAAGGCGCCCTCTCCCCGCTGGGCCCGGGGAATACTAACTAGTTGACAGGAATTTTAATATAAAACTCTCCCTCTTCCTTGTCATTCTGAGGTTTCAGGAAGCCTTCGGGCTTATCACGCAGAGGCACACAGCACAGACAGGGCCTGGGGAGGTGAGAGGTGATTTCCTGCCATTCTTCTGCGCGGCGGGCTTCCCAGGGCGGTCATGCCAGGCTGACGGGGCGCAGTGCGGGCTCCTACTGCTGGGGGGAGAGCTGGGTTTTCATGGGGCAGCAGCGGAGCAGGACCTGCAGCCATGAACCGCTTCAACGGGCTCTGCAAGGTGTGCTCGGAGCGCCGCTACCGCCAGGTGGGTGCTCAGCCCTTTGACGGGCGGCATGGGGTGTCACTGGGGGTCAGGGTTGGGGGCTTAGCCTAGCAGGACTTCTCTCCCCTCGTGGCCGTCCTTGTCCCCTCCTGCGCCTTGCAGGTTCGTTTTGATTTAAGGGGAGGACAGAGGCAGGAGCTGGACCTGAGACCCAGCCTTCGCCCACTGCCCCTCTCTCTAGGGGCCGGTGGGGTCCAGCTCTGTGTTGTCCTAACCAGTGGCTGGGTGGTGTCCCTCGTGAGTTTATTGATTGCTTTTCTGTTTTCTTATTTTGTGGCAGCGTGGTTGTTAAAAAAGTACCCCAAGCCTGAGAATGCAAGTGGCTAAGTTGCTGAGCAGCCGGGGTTTGTGGGGTTTTTTGCTGCTAACTTTGTCTTTTTGCAAACTTTCCCTACTTCCGATGGGACAGCAGTGCCTGTCCTGCATTGTGTGCGCGTGTGTGTGATTGTGTGATTTTCTGCCTGAGTCAGTGCGCGCCTGCATGTGAGATAGGATGTTTCTGTTTCTGTACGCACATGTGATTTTTCTCGTACACGCTCACCCGTGGACATGCACACATGATTTTCCTCCCCACGGATACCTTGAGGCGGATCCGGAGTCCTCTGGCTCTTGAGCCCAAGTTCACCGAGAGGGTCTGGCCTCTCAGCCTCCAGCCTTAGGACGTAGGGCAGAGTGGGAGCGAGGATCCGTTAGTCTCTGAGCCTCTTCTGTGATGGACATTTTCCCTTATAAAAAAAAAAAAAAAGCCATGGGCTCAGTGAGGGTGCAGGCAAGGGATGTCCAGATTTTGGGAATGGGAGCTAAGAAATGGTTCTGATTGTGTAAGTACAGAAAAGTCCCTCTGTGTGTTTTAATGCACAGACTGAAACCTGGGTCTTGACTCCTTGGGACAGGCAGCCTTAGGTGCAAGGGAGATGCCCAGAGGGGTCTTCTGCACGGCGGCCCCACAGCCAGAGACCCACAGGTTCTCCCTTTAGTCCTCCCTCCCTGCACGGCCCCACCCTGCCCTCCCGCCCTCCTGGAGCCAGGCAGAGTGGCCCCTGCCACACCGGGGTGGCGGAGTGGTGAGGCTGCGAGGGCACTGGATGGGAGGTCAAGAAGTCCTTGGTCACCTTGGGACTACAGGCACCTTGCAGTCACAATGGGGCCAGGCATGAGTGTGGGCTGGGCCTGGGTCTCTAGGGCTCAAGTTTAAGGCAAGCCTGCGCTAGGAACCAGTGCTGTATTGAGAGCACCAGCTTTTTGTCAGACCCGGGCTGAAGTCCAGCTCTGCCTTTCTTCAGCTGTGGCCCTTGAGCACGTCACTTTTCTTCCCCGAGTCTCAGTCTTCCTGTCGGTGGAAAGGGATGCTAATGCCCAGGGACGATGCTGGGAGAATAAATGGAGTGTTGTGTGTAGCGCCTGCCAAGGTACCTGGTATAGTCCATGAGTGGGGCAGCTGGAGATGAAGTCTGGGCATGGAAGAGCCCAGAAACCAGGCAGGAGGGCAGAAGGGAGGTGCGGCCACGGGTGAGATCCAGGAGCAGTGGCAGTTCCTGCCCCAGACAGGAAAGAGCAAGGACCACCCCCAGGAAGGACGGCCTCTGCCAGGAGCCACCACCAAAGTCCCCGGAGTCAGGGCGTGGCTGCTCTCCTCACCTCCTGACCCTGAGGCCTGAGGTCAGAGAGGAGGACCGAGAGCGAGAGCCGGAGGCTTCACTTTCTTTCTCTTTTAAACCAGCCCTGCCTTCCACTCAGGGCTGCAGTGAGGCTCAGGTTCTTTGAGCCCCGTCTTTTCAGTGTGGCCAGTGCTCACGATGGCCCGAGAATAATGCTGTTTCCTTCCCTTGGTCCCGCCCTTTGCTTCCTCACCCCCTCTCCTCTTCCCAGCCTTCCCCACCCCCAGCTGTCTTGGACCAGGGACCCGGCTGGCTCTTCTTAGGCCAGTGCCCAGGAAGGCAGAAGGCGCTCCAGTCCACGGTGCCACCTGGATGAGGAGACCAGGGTGTGGATGTGGGAGGCTGTTTTGCTGGAGCACACAGTTCAACTCCAGACTCCACTCTGGAGCCAGTCCCTAATTGTCAGCACCGTGCCTGAAACAGGGGGCTAGGACCTGTTCCCAGAGCCTGCGCCGAGGCCAGAGGGGTCGTGGGCCTTGTGGGGTAGGACAAGGGAAGTGCTGGCAAGACTTTGGAATCCCAGCTTCCGCCTGGATTGAGGGGGAGTCGCCAGGCCCCTAGGATCCCTGGTCGTGTGGAGGGGACCAGGCTCCTGACAGCTTCCCTCAGCCTCGGCCTGGCTTTCCGCACTTACTCCAGCGTTTGTTTTTCTTTCTTTCTTTCCATTTTTTTCTCTTCCTGTCTTAGCTGCGTGTTTTCCCAGAATTCTTATGGGAACAGGGTATTTTCCTGCCCCCTCCCCCCTCCCCTTGTCTGTCAGATTTCCTGTTTTAAAAACTCTGCTTTGAATCCAGTCCCAGGGCTGGTGGGAAGCAGAGCCTCAGGGGCCTCCTGGCAGCTTCCAAGCGCCTTGGTCACCCTGGGCCCCTGGCCTCCCCTTCCTCACGCCTGACCTTGGTGACAGCTGGCAGGTGAATGCCAGGCACCTAGCCTTGAAGAGAATCTCCTAACAGGCGGGCAGCCCTGACCTTTCCAGGCTTGCTGAGCTGGCTTCTTTCCCAGCCTGCCTGGGACACCCTCCCTGTGCCTCGCCAGGGCCCACTCCATCCGCTTCCAGGGGGTCTCTTGGAGCCCCCTTGAACCTGTCTTCTGTTGCTTTCATGCACCTGTTCCCAGCAGCTTGGAATCACTTTTGGGTGGGCCAGGCTGGGCCGTCTGCACTCTGCCCAAAGCCTAATTGGGGGAGCATAGAGGGGGAGCACAGCAAGACTGAACTGAATTGAGTCAGCAGACTGTACTGCACCCCCCTCCCCCGCCAGCCCCCCAGCTCCCCACTGCCAGTGGGGTGCTGCTGGGCTGTCCTCATTAACTTAGCACTTGCTGCGTTCCTGCGGTGCGTGAAGCCAAGCACACAGAGCCATTCCCAGCTCGGCCTTCATGTTTTGCTATAATGCTTGTCATGTCCTGCTTTGCTTCGGAAAGACTTGTGTGCCCTCATGTCTCTCTGGGAGCCAGAGACCCAGGCCTCATGCTTCCATACCTCAGCAGAGCCTGGCATGCAGCAGGAACTGAATGCCTTGTAAAGAGCATCTGATGGTACAGCCCTTCCAGGGGGCTTCTGAAAGGAGGACTGTGGAGCTGCCCTGCACATGGGCACACAGGCCTCAGCAGGCACAGTGAGGTCAGGGACCAGTGCGGGTTCAGCGGGGAGGCCTGACTGTGTCCCCACCTGCCCCCTCACCTGGGAGCCCTCGTTGGATGCCTCGAGTTCTGGCGATGGACGGCCCTGAGAACCCCAGCACTTGCCCTGTGACCTTTGACTTGAGGGTGTGAGTGTATGTGTCCCTGTCTTCCTCCTCCTGTTCTCTGGGAAGGCAGCGACCAGGTTGGCTTTGTTTTTGGGAAGGAGAAATGGACCAAGCAGGCAAGCAGGCTCACAGGCCACGTGCAGATGTGCAGGTCCAGTGGGCCTTTGGGAAAGGGCTGCATGTCAGCTGGGCCGAGGAAGGTGAGGTGTGCCCTTTCAATGCTCTCTCCATCCCAGCCTCCACATCGGCCTGAGCTCCCAGCTTTCCTGCTTGGCCCACAACCCAGTGGTCAAGAGGCCTGGGCCGAGACAGGGACGGTGAGAGGCTGGCCAGCCTCCTTTTTGGCTCCAGTTAGAGAGGAGGATGGCTCTGGGGTGGGGCCTGTGGGCTTCCTGACCTTGGGTCGGCTCTGGGAGTAACTGGGCCGGGCTGTGTTCTAGATCACCATCCCGAGGGGGAAGGATGGCTTCGGCTTCACCATCTGCTGTGACTCTCCGGTCCGCGTCCAGGCGGTGGATTCGGGTAAGTGAGTGTCTTGGGTGATGCAGCCCCATTCTCCCGCTGCGCATGCGGGCTGTGCAAACAAGACCGTGGCCTGTAAGGGAGCCCCAGAGTGGAGCAACATGTGGCCTTGTCTTTCAAAACGAAAAGAATAATATTTTCAAATGACCACAGATAAAACTGAGGTTTATGAAAATAGGCCCGCTCTTTTTTGTCTGTGTGTTTTTATCAAAATGAAAATAGGTTTTTATATTTTGGCTTCCCCGGCATTTCAAACAGGAACTAAACCTATACTTTCAATAATGGCTGCATGGGAAAAGGAGTCATTTCTGAACTCTGTTTAGGAATTGGCATTTTATCCTATGCCAAGCCTGAGTAGCACTGAAACACAGGCATCCCCTTCCTATTTTCCATAAAGAAAAGATTTCTCCTAATCACAGCGTGAGCATCTCAGGAGAAGGCAATACTTGGTGGTCTGGGTGACCCCAGTGCCTGCATGGGGTCGGGCACGAGGTTGGCACTTGATGCTGAAGGAATGAATGAAGTGGGTGAGCCTGGTACCAAAGAAGGGCTCTCAGGGGGTGGGAGGCCCTGGGGTGTGGGGTGGGACTGGCTGGAAGCACAGAAGTGTGAATAGGCGAAGGGTGTGTTCCTCTGAGGTCCCTGGGAGCCACCAAGGTCGGCCCCTCATTTCACAGATGAAGAAACAGGGTGGCAGTCCTTGTCCTGGGTCACTGGGGAAGCAAAGGACCCCAGGTCCTTCCAGTGGGCTGTGGGCTTGAGGAGCCCTTGAGTGTCCTTTCTTTGTCCCTGCAGGGGGCCCGGCAGACAGGGCAGGGCTGCAGCAGTTGGACACCGTGCTACAGCTGAACGAGAGGCCGGTGGAGCACTGGAAATGCGTGGAGCTGGCCCACGAGATCCGGTGAGAGGGACTGGGGGCTGCCTGAGGCTCGGCTGGTGGCACGCCTCCCCTCCCTAGCCCTGGCACGGGGCCTTATCCTTCCCTCCTTTGCCCAGCCGTCAGCAATTCACTCTGCCCCTCAGGGAATCGGGTTCTCAGTCTGCAAATGGAAGGTTCAGGGCTCAGAGCAAACAGCAGGGAAGGAGCTCTCAAACCAACCCTCTGGTTCCAGGGCGTGGCTTTCTACTTCACTAATGATTCCTGCTACCTCACAGCTAAGCCCATTGTTTTAAAGGGTGTGTAGATGTTGCAAATGTGTCAAATGCCCAATTAAAAAAAAAACCTCTTGAAAATGTCTGGGCCCTCTAAATTTTGGCCGGCTGGGGTAGAACCCTCATGGCCCATCGCTGGCCTGCTTCTAAAGTGACTGGATGAATGGACGCACACAGGTGTTTGCTTGCTCCTCCTGGCGTATATTTTGCCCACAGACGTCACTAATTGAATCTGATACTCTTTCTTGTTTAACCTGGCCTTGGCCTCCGCACCCTTCTCAGCCTCTGCCAGTCCATTAGGGTTGTCCTAAGGGAACCCTATGCCATCTCTGTTTCACATGGTCTCTTGTCCCCCTTCCCGCCCTGACATTAGGGGCTTCTCCCCCTCCCATACTCTTCCTCTCTGCCCCTGCAGGCCCTGGCCCCAGCTGGCTTTGGTCTCCCCCAGACTCAACTTCTCTGTGTTTCCAGGAGCTGCCCCAGTGAGATCATCCTGCTCGTGTGGCGCCTGGTCCCCCAAGTCAAGCCAGGCCCGGATGGCGGGGTCCTGCGGCGGGCGTCCTGCAAGTCAGCCCATGACCTCCAGTTGCCCCCCAACAAGCGGGAGAAGAACTGCGCCCACGGGGCCCAGGCTCGGCCTGAGCAGCGCCACAGCTGCCACCTGGTATGTGACAGCTCCGATGGGCTGCTGCTCGGAGGCTGGGAGCGCTACACCGAGGTGGCCAAGCGTGGGGGCCAGCACACCCTGCCGGCGCTGTCCCGTGCCACTGCCCCCACCGACCCCAACTACATCATCCTGGCCCCGCTGAACCCTGGGAGCCAGGTATGGACAGCTGGTTCGGGGAAGGGGAAGGGCACGGGCCCCTCTGTGAGGCCAGGAAAAGACTCGACATTATGTGGGGAGGAGCCTGCAAGGGGATGGGAGTGTGTGTTAGCTCCGCGGCTGCCAGGCTGTCCTGGGTGTGGAGAGCGGGTGGGCCTTTGTGGGCTCAGGACATAGACACAGACCCAGGGGATGTCACAAGGTAGAAGATTGCTCCTCAGAAGAAGGAAGAGCTGGGAAGAGTTGTGCCAGCCTGCACGTTCCCACAATGGGTTGGGCTGCTGTGGGTGGTGGGGGGTGAGTCCCCAGTCATAGAAGGTGTGAAAGCAGACAGTACAGGATGGCAGGGTGGGATGATGGAGTGTGCGCCCCAAAAAATTACTCCTATGAGATATTTTTGGGGGAAAAGTGTTCTGAAGTCAAATAAGTTTGAGCACTATCCCAATGCATACTGGCCCACTGGAGCCTGTCCCAGTCATCCCGCACTAGAGACGGTGGCTTAACCTTGTTTCACTCAGCATTTCCCAGACCCCCCTGGGGTGCACCCTGTGGCAGGGTTGTTAGCACCGCTCAGTGCCAATATTCCATGGAACATTTTTTGGAACAAGCTGCCTTCAAGGAAGGTGGGGACTTGGCCCAGGGGCTAGACTTGTTGAGAGCTATAGCCTGCTGAACTCTAATATTCTGGAGGTTTCTGGACTTATTTCTAAGCCCCCTCTCAGCTTGGTAGCAGGGTTGCTGTTTTCCCTAGTGCCCCGAGGTGTTCCCTTCCCATCGCCAGGCTGGGGCGAGCAGCCTGCCGGGTTGTCCTGCCCTGCGCCTGGGGCTGAGGTGGTTCTCCTGCCTTTGCCTTGCAGCTGCTGCGGCCTGTGTACCAGGAGGATGCCATCCCCGAAGGTGAGTTGGTCCTCTGCTGCTGTGCCCTCCGAGCCCTTGAGAGATCGCGAGGTCAGCCGGGAGGCCAGGCCCAGCCTCCTCCTCTGAGGTTGGAGGCCTTCTCAACAGGGTCAAGGAACCCCCCCCCCCCCCCATGTTGATGCAGACTCTGTTTCCTCCTGGTGCATTTTCTCCCACACCGAACCCCAGTGTCTTTCTGCCTTGGAGCCTGCATAAGGAGGAAGAAGCAGGGATCTTGTCTAAGAGATGGTGTATAGGACTCGGGCATTCAATTGAGATTCCTCCAGTTTTTACTGAGCCACCAATAGATGTTAGGTGCTGTAGGCAGCATGGTCAGGTCTGCATGGAAGGGAGGCATGGAATTTGGAGCTGAGAGGTTTCAAATTGGAGTCCTAGCTGTGTGACCTTGATCAACTCATGTGCCCTCACTGAGCCTCAGTTTCTTTATCTATAAAATGGGGCTGATAATTTCCACCTCAGAGGGCTGTGGGAGAGTTAAAGAAGGTAGTGGTTGTGGGTAGTAGCCTGTATATATACGGAGAGTTGCTACACAGAGGGTAGTTGTCTTTGAAGTGCAAATGTCTCTGCTGTTTGAATGATTCTTCTCCTTTGGCCTTCAAACCCTGGCCCTATTTCTTTTTAATTTCTTTTTATTTTTTTTAAAACATATTTTATTAATTTTTCACAGAGAGGAAGGGAGAGAGACAGAGAGCTAGAAACATCGATGAGAGAGAAACATCGATTCAGCCGCCTCCTGCACACTCCCCACTGGGGATGTGCCCCCAACCCAGGCACATGCCCCTGACTGGAATCGAACCCAGGACCCCCCAGTCCGCAGGCCGACGCTCTATCCACTGAGCCAAACCGGTTTTGGCGTCTGGCCCTATTTCTTAAGGGCCAGGGAGAGAAGTGGGGCTCAAAATCAACTCCTTCTCCTAGGAAGCCTGAGCTATCAGTCTTGGTGCTGGAAATGGCTGGGCATTCCTTCAGGCCCCCTGTGCTCCTGCTGGAGACTTCTGACTAGAATGTTGAGACCAGCCTTGCCAGGTGGTTCGTGATGCCTACCTTGGGTATGCCTGAGCCCTTCCTCTAGGGCCCGCAGAATGCCCTTTGACCTTCTTCCTTGAGAGTGGCCTTCTCCCAGCCACTTGCACTTGTGCCTTCTGTCCCCCTCCATCAGTCGTGTGAAGATGACGCTTGCTTACAGCGGCTACTTGGAAGAATGCCCGTGCCTTTTCGGGGGAGTGGGGGGAGGGCTCCCATGAGGCTCCGTGCTGCTGACGGACATCTTCATCCTCTCCAGGCGGGGGCATTTGGGTACTTGGGCCTCTTCTGTCGGAAATGAATCTGTGTTCCTTCTAGAGAGGAGTCTGATCGTGACTCAACACTGAGTTTTACCAAAGCTTTTAGTTGGTACATTAGGTTAGAGTGGAGATGCCGCTGCTAAATGGTGACTTCATTAAGGGCAGGGCCTGGGCTGGCTCATTGTTGTGTCCAGTGCCAGATGTGTGACCGAGGGCAGTGGTCAGTAGACTTTCTGTACTCAGCTGACTGAAGGAGAGTGGCTCCGGTGGCCTCGAGGGGTCTGCAGACTGGCCACAGAGTGAGGCTGGAGAGGCGAGTCGCCTGTGGGGGCTAGAGGTTGGGAATTGGTTCCCTCTCAGCCTCAGAGTTGCCTGAGTCGCCCTGCTCTCCTCCCAACCTGTGTCCACATTGCGATTCCCCTCTGAGAATAATATATTACTTAGTGGCCCAAGAAGGGCACAGCCATCTCAGCTGTGGGGAGAGGACAGTAAGGCAATGATGACGATGTTAATAATGATAGCAACTTTCTGAATGCATTACATGAAGAACTTGACCTTCCTTCATAATAAACATCCTTTCGGTCTCCAAGAACATCTTTGCTCTTTACCAGGCATCGAGTCTGTATAGCTCCAAGTCCTGGGGTTCAGAGGAAGGCATGGAATCCAGGGCACAAAGCTTCCTTTAGACACACTCAGGGCGCTCCAGAGGCTAAGGCTGTCACCAGGGGGCCTACTTCTGTCCCCTCCTCTGGCTGGGCTGCCTGACCTCCTTCCAGGAGGGAGGATTGAGCCATCCTGTGTTGAATGGGGTCTGGTGCCCTTCTGAGGCCTGGGGTGCCTTCCCACTTGTGGTCGGCATGTTCCCCTGGGCTGCTGTGACCCTCAGCATTGTCCCCTGCCCTGTGAAGGCGGCCCAGCCTCAGATTCGCCACTGCCGGGGTGGATGGCTGCCAGGAGCAAAGACGAACAGTTACTGTGTTTGATCCGTGAAGCCGGTGTTAGAGCCAAAAAGGGTGGTATGGGGGTTTGGGGCAGAGGTGGTCAGAGGTAGCAGGAGGGAAGTCAAGTAGCTTGCCTTCACAGAGCTCAGTATCTGGGTTGCAATCTGGATTGTTTTTTTAAAAAGATACTTCAAAACCCAGTTTGGAGAACTATGCCCACTTGCCACACATTATCCAGGGGTGTGTGGAGAGGGGTCTGGAGGGCAGGACAGCCACCTAGGTTGGGTTGATCCTGCCATGTACCATTCACTGGCCAAATGACCTTGGGCAAGTCACTCAACCACGCAGGCCTCAGTAGCCTTGTCTATAAAATGGAGCTGAGCGAACCCTTTCCACCTGAAGGCAGAGGTGTGTGTCAAATGGCTCACTCATGACTCTCCAAGGCCGAGCAAAGGTGCTGTGACTGCCCTGTGCAGCTGGGCTGGGGAAGGGAAGAGATGCATCCTTTTAAACATCTGAGACGGGGGCCCAGGGCCAGACCAGCAAAGGGTACCTTTCTTTAATTTCGGTCTGTTTTGCCATAGTCCCCTGCTTCACAGTCCTGTGTGGTCTGTCTTCTCTGGTCTAGGCTCACCTGTGTGAAGTCTAGTTCCAGGCTGCCCCTGTCACACCAGTCACGGTGTGTTTGAGGCCCAGCAGTCCTGTCCTAATGCCAGCCCTGATGGGTGGGTTATTGGTTGGTTTGGGGTTTGTAATGGCCCCTGTGCACTCACGTTCGGTTCCATTCACCAAGCCCGTCCCCATCAGGTCTTTCCTGTGTGCCCCCACACTGACCCTGGGACAGGCAATGCAGTAGCCTGTACAATCCCCACTTTGCAGTGGAGAGAACTCTGGCTCAGAAAAGGGGTTCTGGGGAAGCCAGTGCTTGTGTTCAGGTGTCTTGTGCAACTGAAATCCTGAGAGACACAGGATGGGTTCTCTTTTAAATTTTTTTTTTTCAATTACAGTTGACATTCAATATTACATTGGTTTCAGATGTACAGTACAGTGGTTAGACATTGATATAACTGACCAAGTCTAGTGCAGGATGGATTCTTCCAGCAAAGGGGCCAGGATCTTGAAGCTTGGATTCGGCCTGGGGTATACGTCTATACCCTCCGACCCCCCGCCCTGTCTGGACTCAGGCTCTTTCTACTCTTCTCTCAGCACCTCCCCGAAGAGTCAGGAAGTGGTTTAAGTGATTATGGTTTGAGTGCTGCCCCGAGATACTGCAGGGATAGGTGGTCACTTGTGGGGGAGGTGTCGACTTGTTTTTCTCACCTCGCTTGGGGAGCAGGGGTGTGCGGTGGGCGTAGGAAGCAAGTGTGAAACCTTCTGAGCTGAGTTTTTCCTCTGAGGCCGTGGACCTCGCGTTGGTGGGGAGCTTCCCCGAGGTGTAGCGGGGTCGGGCCACCTGTTCACTCTCTGGCTTCCAAGACTGGGGGTGGTGGAAGGCGACCTTGACCCTGGGGACGTGCAGGTCAAGGAAGACTGGTCAGGTGCCCACTGGCAGCAGGAACCCTTGGAGGGGCCATGGAGCCCGATTGCTCCAGGGTTTGCCTCCTGCCCTGACGTTTTAGGTTCTCTGTGTTTTGCTCCTCTGCCCATTGGACGGGGCATGATAAAGTCCTGTGGGCCACCGCTGTTCAGGGTGAGAGTGTGTGCCCAGCACTGCCTTTTAAAGAGGAACCCCCTGCAGTCTTCTGCTCTCTTTCCCGGCGGTGTCTCTCCCCCTCCCCCCACCCTTGTTCCCCCCTTTTTCTGATTAAAATAACTTGTGAGTTGGTGGCACAGCTGGGAGGACCTCCTGGCTGTGACAAAGCCCAGGATTCCCAGAGTCCCTAAGGCATCTGGCTAACCTACTTTTCCATGTGGAGGGATCACAGCCACAAGAACCCCAAGTCAACAGCTCTTATCGCACGCACACCTATAGGTCCCAGGCACTGCTCTAGGGGCTTGACTTGGAGCATCTCATTGAATCCTCACAGCAATCCAGTGAGCTTGGTGCTGTCGTTAGAGTTGAGGCAACCAAGACTCTGGGAGGGGGAAGTGAGCTGCCGAAAGTCACCAAACTAGTAAGCAGAGGCGTGGGCTTTGGGCACAGCCATCTGGCTTCAAGCTGGGGCTCTGCCCCGAGAACTGGGGCAGCAGGTGCCACTCCTCATTCTAGACCAGCGGTTCTCAACCTGTGGGTCGTGACCCCTTTGGCGGTCAGACGACCCTTTCACAGGGGTCACCTAAGACCATCCTGCAGATCAGATATTTATATTACGATTCATAACAGTAGCAACATTACAGTTATGAAGTAGCAACGAAAATAATTTTATGGTTGGGTCACAACATGAGGAACTGTATTTAAAGGGCCAGAAGGTTGAGAACCACTGTTCTAGACTGACTGAGGTGAGCCCGGCCGCCCCAACTCCCTTGACTGATAGAGGCTGGATCTCGATACATCCCGGGCAAGCCCACTGTCTCTGCTGCCACCGCAGAAACTGGACCTCTAGACCCTTTGCCCATGGGACCTGGGAGGCGATGGAATGGGTGCGCTGAGCTGGGTGTGTGCAGGGGGCAGTGGGGATGGTGGAAAGCGGAGAGCAGGTGCTCTGCCACCTGGACACTCACTGCTGTGCCCCAAGTGATGGTTCTGTGTGGGACTGTGGTCCTGGTGAGCTCACATCTCCTGGTTTTTCACATATGAGAGATTTCCTGATTTTTTTTAAGTACGAGGCCAAACCGATAGGTCTGACACGGACCCTGGGTCACCAGATGGGGTCTGCACTCCACCCCCCACCCCCTGTTGCAGTGGGTGGTTCCCAGCTCCGTGCTCGCCGTGGGGTGCTTATTTACACGTCAGTATCTCTCACAGATGGCGAGGGAACTCCTTGAGGCCCTTCTGAGGCCCTCCCTATAGTCTCAGCACCTTGCACAGGGCCTGGCACGTAGCGGATGCTCACAGCAGATGGCTGTGGACTGAGTCTGTTCCCTATTTCTGCAGAGGGGATGCCTTTGCAGGGGTAATGGAAGTGTCTCACGGCCCCCCATCTCTGTTCTACAGAATCGGGGAGTCCCAGTAAAGGGAAGTCCTATACGGGCCTGGGGAAGAAGTCTCGGCTGATGAAGACGGTGCAGACCATGAAGGGCCACGGGAACTACCAGAACTGCTCAGTCATGAGGCCACACACCCCACACTCAAGCTATGGCACCTACGTCACTCTGGCTCCCAAGGTCCTGGTGTTCCCCATCTTTGTTCAGGTGAGCTGGTGGCTGGTCCCTCAGGGGGAGGTGAGAAAGAGGAGGGGCCTTGACCCCAGGACTCGGGGATGGTGCCTCATTTTCCCCTTTAGGGAAAGACAAACCACTCCAGGTGCTCAGGATTCTGGGGGTGATACCGAGGGAGCACAGGTCTTTAAGAGAGAGAACAGGCGAGTTGGGGCAGGGGAGCCCACAGACAAGGGGTCCCCTCCTCGCTTCCCCCCAACCTCCCCTTTCTGTAGGGACAGGCCAGGCACACTCCAGCCACTTGTGCGGTCACAGGGCCTGTGTGCTGAGGCTTCTGCTTGCTGGCCCATCCGGTGGCTCATTGTTTGGAAATGTCCAGACCTTGAGGTCTGACATCTTGTCTGGGCTCTTCAGTGTAAGCAAACATGTCTGGCTAGTAGTAGCGGGTGGCCTGAGATTCACTTAAATCTCCGTTCTCTTCCTTTCCCCTCCTCTTCCCTCACTTCCTCCCTGTTTCTAAACCTTTATTTCACCACCCAGACATAACCAGTGTGAGCATTTAGGTGTCTTTGCTGTGTGCATATACACATTGAAAAAAAAACCCCAAATAGGCCTTATTGTACATTTTATATCCTGTTGCTTATTTATTTCTTGAAAAATTTATCTTTATTGTTGAAAGTATTACAGACGCCCCCCCCTTCCCCCTATTGTTTCCCTCCATCTACCCCTGCCCCCCAGGCCTTCACCACACTATTATCTGTGTCCATGGGTTATGCATATATGCATATAAGTTCTCGGGTTAATTCCCCCCGCCCCCCCCCACCTTCCCCCTGAGATTCATCCTGTTGCTTTTTAAAAATGAAAACTGCACAAACATTTCCCACATCATTAAATACTCTTCGAGCCTGTGTTGTGTAGTGGTTGCACACTGCTGTATTATATGCATGTAGCCTATTTATTTAACCAGTTCTCTATGCAGACACTTATGTTATGTCTGCTTCTTGTTATAAATAACCCTGCGAGGAGAATCCCTGTGCATGATTCGCCGCTCTGATTATTTTCCTTGGAAGAGCTTCCTAGGAGCGAAATGACTGAGTCACAGGCCATAAACTTTTGCAAGGCCCTTTAGACATATGGGCACATTGCTCTCCATAAAGACTGGATTAGTTTATCCTCTTGTCAGCAGCGTAGAGGTGACAGTGTCCCCAGGGCTTCATTTCTTACCACTGGTTCCTTCTCTGGCCTTCCCGGCATCTGAGTCTAGTTCTGTCACTGTCTAGTGGATCTTAGACACACCGCTTAGGGCGCCCCGACCTCTGGCAGGTGACATGCCTCTCCCAGACCACTCCATCGGGAGGGCTGCCCTTGGCCTTTCTCTTGGTCTCTTCTCTTTCTTGGGATGTAACCACAAACATCTTGGCATTCACAGGGTTATTGTTGTTTTTAAATGTTTACAAAAAAGCTAAAATGAGTTTTTAAAAAGTTATAAAAATTTTAACATTATAAAAGACATATGCACCAAAAAATGGCACAGCACTTAAATCAGTGGTTCTCACCCTTCTGGCCCTTTAAAACAGTTCCTCATGTTGTGACCCCCAACCATAAAATTATTTTCGTGGCTACTTCATAACTGTCATGTTGCTACTGTTATGAATCGTAGTGTAAATATCTGATGTGCAGGATGGTCTTAGGCCACCCCTGTGAAAGGGTCGTTTGATCGCCAAAGGGGTCGCGACCCACAGGCTGAGAACCTCTGACTTAAATGCACAGTTTAACACATAATTCTAAAGCAGACACGCGCTAAGATGAAGGAATCCGCCCTTGCCGCCACTCCAGAGGCCATTTTATCTCTCCTCGATCAGAATGCCGCCTTCCCAGCAGACGTACCTCTGACCCGGCGTTATGACAACCATTTCCTTGCTTCTCGTTAGTCTTACCAGCTATGCGTGCTTTCCTAAATAACATATTTGATTTGGCCTCTTTTTGAATGTTATTTCATGAAACCGTATCGCATGCATTCCTTTGGGCCCCGCTTCCTTTGCTGCACATTCTTTGTAAGATCCATCCAGGCTGTTGTGTGTAGTTGACATTTGCTTCATTCTCGTTCCTCCACCCCTTGCTTGGTGTCAGGTGCCTGGAAGCCATGTTTTAAGTATGCATTCATGAGGGTAAGTCCTGCAGGCTCGTCCGAGCTTAGGGAGCTCTCCCTGAGCTGGGCAGGGATGGAGCAGGATGATGGGGTAGGGTAAGAGGTTTGGGTGAGGCCCTAGCCCAGCCGTGGGCAAACTACGGCCCGCGGGCGGGATCCGGCCCGTTTGAAATGAATAAAACTATTGAAAAAAAAGACCGTACCCTTTTATGTAATGATGTTTACTTTGAATTTATGTTAGTTCACACAAACACTCCATCCATGCTTTTGTTTCGGCCCTCCGGTCCAGTTTAAGAACCCATTGTGGCCCTCGAGTCAAAAAGTTTGCCCACCCCTGCCCTAGCCGGTTTGGTTCAGTGGATAGACCGTCGGCCTACAGCCTGAAGGGTCTCAGGTTCGATTCTGGCCAAGGGCACATACCGAGGTTGTGGGCTTGATCCCTAGTGTGGGGCGTGCAAGGAGGCAGCCAACCAATGATTCTCTCTCATCACTGATGTTTCTATCTCTCTCTCCCCCTCCCTTCCTCCTCTCCCTTCCTCCCTGAAATCAATAAAAAAATATATATATATTTTTAAAAAGAGGTTTGGGTGAGAATTGGTTCCTGGGAACTGATGGCCGAGAAGGAGTCAGTGCGCTTCAGTGTGTCACGGATGTAGAGCAGGGGCTGGCCTGGCTTTGAAGGGACCCAGGTGACCAAATCTGGTCCAGTTTGGTCTCCTGAGAGCCTGGCCCTAACAGCAGGGACCATCCCGTGAGGCATGAGCAGGACAGATGGGGGCGTGTGGGGCCTGGGAAGTCCCAGGAGCCCAGTGCAGTGGAGGAGCGGGGGGCAGGGAGGATTGCAATGTGTGGTTGGACTTCCTGCCAGAGAGTGCAGCTTTCGCGGTGAGGGCTGGTGGTGAAGGTGGCAGCTACAGTTCCGCCCGGGGCCAGAGCATTTGTCTTTCTGTTTCCATCTGCGTATGAGGGGGCGTGTGGGTTCTTGGGGAGCCGGCAGGGCTGGCAGACTTTTCTGTGTCTGGCTTTGTCAAGCTGTCACCCCCTAACCCCCAACTGTTTCCATCAGGCCTCTCTGAATTGCCCACTCTGCTTTCAGCCTTTAGATCTCTGTAACCCTGCCCGGACCCTCCTGTTGTCAGAGGAGCTGCTGCTGTACGAGGGGAGGAACAAGGCTGCCGAGGTAAGGCTGACACACGCCGTTCCCAGATGGGGCGCCCTGGGGGGCTTCCTGGGCCATTCTCCAGGCCCCTAGCTTTCCTGTCTTCCTTAGAATTGTACAATCTCCGAGTAGAAAATACCTGACAAGTCTTCCATCCCCCTCCACGCCCTCCTTACCAAACGGTGACCCAACTTTTTCTTGTACATTTCCAGCAAGAAGGAGCTCACTACCTCTCAAAGCTGTTTAGTCCATCTTTGATGGTGAGAACGTTTTCCCAGCCCCTGAAGACACCCCATTATTTGTCCTAACTTCCTCTAAGGAACAGAGGAGGTGGCCATTCCTCCCAGGTGTGATGAATGGCTTTGTAGGGGAGAAGATGAAAGCTGTCAGCCAAAGGGAATTTTTAGAGGAGCATCAGTTATGCAGGTTTTGTGGGTCTGTATTAACCCAAATCCCAAATCCTCTCCTAAGGGACAAGTCTGAAATTTCTCCTGGGCTTTAGCTCTGTCAACAGAGGCCTGGGGATGGCGATCATGCCAGTCTTCGTGGGAGCTGGCCCCTGCTGATATCTGACTCGGGAAATTTCACTCACCCACGCAATCCCCAGAGCTGGCGGGGTTCCAGCTCAGTCCTGCGAGCTTAAACCTACTGGGGCACAGAGGTCAGAGCCCTGGGATCTTCAAGGCTACCTGGGAGCCTCGGAGAAAGGGTAAGGGGCTTGCTGCAGGTCAGGCCCTGACTCAACGCTGGCAGCATGGCTGTCAGGGTTGAGTGACAGCTTGGGGTAGCGTGGAAAGATCAGGAAACTTGGAGGCAGGAAGCATATAGCCAGCTCCTGTTCTGCTGCTGGACTTCTTCCTTCTTCCTCGGTCTTCTCATCTCAGCAGTGTGTGTGTTTGAGGCAGCTGTTGTCTAAGGGCCTTTTCAGCCCAGCATTCTGGGACATTGTGTGTAATTGTGGCTAAAGCAGGAGGCTGCTTTTGTTTTTTTTTCTTTTAACAAGCAGACCATAGCTCATATATTCCAAATGAGCATCATGGCTTTCAAAGGAGCTCCCTGGGGACACTGCGAGCTTATTTCTGCCGCACTGGCATTACTCACTACATTTCTAGACCTCTTCTTGGGGAACTTTCTTAAGAACCTTGGCATATCTTCTGAGTTGCCTTCATGGGAGTAACACTTCATCTATCGAGAGGGATTTGAATTTTAGGAATAAGTCACCTGGAACTGTGCTTGGTAAATAAGGGTGTGGGGGAACTATGTCAGGTGGCCAGGGTCAGAAAGTCAGGTGGGACTACAAACTCCTAAGATTTCAAAGAAGGCACTTAGAAATGGCAGCTGCCCTGAAATACATACACACGTCTAAATTTGCTCTTGTGTTTGTCCACTGACCATGAAGTCTGCAAACACTGAGCACTTATTATGATTACCCTCCCTGTGCATGCATTTCACATACCAAATCTGTTAGTTCTTATAGCACCCCAGGAGAGGCACGTTGTCCCCACTTTATAGATGAGGAAACTGAGGCTCCAGTGAGATTAATTGGATCTTAAGGCTATAAGGGATGGAGCCAGGATTAGCACTCAGATCTCTGGCTCCACAGTGCTTCCCACAATGCCGTGCTGCCTATGGCTTGTTTGTTTAAAAACAAACCAGCAAACACAAGCTGAAGTCATAGGCTGATTACAGTCTGTTCCAAAGTTCTTTGCTAGTGGATCTTTGGAGCCTTAGAACCAAGAAGACTCCCTTTTGAAGACTGAAAGAAGCAATTTGAGACAAGTAAAATAAATGTATTTGTTTTTCTTGAATTATGCTAGGAAGCAAATGTGTGCATCTTGGCATCTGTTATTCAGGCCAAAAATATAAACCAGTCCAAGAGGGGCTTGAATAAGTTCGTAGACTCATAATGCTGGTTAGTCTTCAGGAGTCGTCATTCTGATCGCTTCCCTGTAATGTCCAGCTGGTTTTCTAGCCAGTTGTTGAGTCTGCAGAGGTGGTCCCTGCAAACATTGTTTGTGGTTTTGTGTTGTTTTTTTTTTCATGGAGAGTGCTAAATTGTAGAAATCTCTCCCTTATGCTCAACAGGAATCTTTATTCCGGGATATCCCCCCTTGGTTCTTGGTCCCGCCTCTGCTCTGAGCATGCTCCAGTTTGCTAATGTCTGTGAGCTGATCCAGACCCACACCCTGAACTGCCCTCATCACACCCCGTCCCGGAAGTCACAGACTTCATTAATGTGCCGTGAGATCAAATCAGCATAATGGAGTAATCTGATTTATACGTTCGAACAATAGGTACTGAGTGTCTACAGTGTAGCCAGGCCTTGTGCTAGAGCTTCCAGGAGTACTACAGGGCCCAAGACAGACACACCCTCCTTTACACACTGACTCACTGAGTTTACCATTAACCAAGGTGCCAAGTCTCTGCAAACCCTGCCCCTAGACCAGATTCCTGGAGGAGGCTTGGTTAGGTTACTTGGGAGAAGTGACCTTCCAAGTTGCGATGATTCTCTAACCAATCCCTCAGCCCTTGACCCTTTGGGAAAACAGATGTGTCTTCGGAGCGAATGTGGGAAGACACCTGGTAGGCACCTGGGGCCAAGGAGATGGGCACCACTCCACTGTGGGCCGCCGAGGCTTCTGCGGGAGCCCAGTCCGCAGGATTCTGGTGAGATAGGAGAGGGGCCCACCTGCCTCGCCCTGGCACGCTTGCTCCTCTGCCCTGCCTTCCGCTGTGTGCCAGCTCTGTCCTTTCCCTGACCCGACCTTGGGGGAAATTCTTCGTTCATGCCTTAATCACTTCCTGTCTAGACCACATTTCCAGCTCTGGGAATCGGGGCCAGGGCAGCAGCCTGGGGCTTTTTGTACCTTGCCCATGGGCAGTTACCCTCTATCCAGTTCTTTCTGGCCTGGGCCATTTTTTGACTTTATAGGCTCCTAACAGACTGTCTTCTCCAATCCTTCCCCCCCCCCCCCCCCGCCAGCTTCCCAGGGGGTCCACAGGTGACTACCAGGTTCCCCTTGAGTGGGCGGGGGAGCCAGGCGGTTTGCTCGTGTTGGGTGTTTAGAGCCTTCTTCTTTTCACTGTTTGGACTTTGAAGCTCTCTCCTCAGACAACCAACCCCTCAAATCCTTCTGAATTCTCGGGTCATTTTCTTCCCCTCCCTTAATTTCATTTTTTCCCCAGTCTCCTTTGCTCCTCTTTTTTTGGTCCCTGCTTGGATTCTTTCACATTCAGAGACAGGACAACTGTAGGCATGTTGCTACCTCTCTGTATAGTGAGCGCTTCGGGGCCAGCCAGACCTGGGCAATGGTCCCTGCTGGGCCACTTATTAACCTCTCTGAGCTGCAGGGTCCTCATCTCTATAACTGAGGGCAATGATGTTATTTACAAGTGCGGACCCACTGAGCAGAAATATAAGTGCTTACCAAATGGAGGCTTTTGATGGGTTGTGTTGGGGCAGGGCTGTGGTGGGAAGGGGGTTAGATAGCATCATGGCCAGGATCCCTTCCAGCTCACGGTCCCAGAACCCTCATGTTTGATCCCGTTATAGGAGCCAGAGCCCCTGAGAGCCTCTTGCCCAAGGATGCCTCCTATGGACTCTGTGGCCCAGATTCCCTCAGACCTCTGTGTTTCTGCTATGCTCAAGAAGCCGAGCGGTTCTTTGAAAAATATTTATGTATTTTTTTTAAAATTATAAACGTAACAGATTTTCATCGCACAATAAAGCAAATTAAGCAGAGATGTGTGAAGTAAAATCCGCTCTCCAGAGTGAAGAGTGTGGCATGTTAGACATTCGAAACATGTTAAATATAGGCTGATTTATAGTTCCGTTTCACAAAATTGGATTATCCTCTTGGTATTTTTACACATTGCACTATTTTGACAGATTTCAGCTTCTGTCTGCGTAGCTCTACTTTATCCTTTTAGTCGTTGCATAAAATCCTACCATGGGAAGGTAGCATGATTTATTTTTTCCATCTTCTCTTGATGGGCATTTATGCTCATTTTTTTTTTTACCCTTCTCTTATTTATTTTATTTTATTCTTTGTTTTTACATCATCCCTACTCCCATTAGTTTATGTACTTTTTAAAAATATTAAAATTATTGGTGTGGCATTGGTTATGAGGTTATGTATGTCTTGGTTATGAGGTTATGTAAGGTTATTCAAGTGCGCCATTCTACGGTACATCCTCTGTGTATTGCACTGTGGCTCACCACTCAGGCTCACCACTCAACGTCTATCTCCTTCTGTCACCGTAGACTCCCCTCACCTTCTTCAACCTCAGTTTATATCCTTTTCTTATTACAAAAATATTGCTGAGAACATCCTTGTGGGTTCATACTGTACAGCCTTGTAAATGTTTCTAAAGGGTGGTCTCAGAGGAACAGTTGTTAGGTCATCTTTAACGGTCTGATAGCTAAATGTCAACATGTTGGCTTCTTAAATTTCAGTGACAATCCAGCACACACACATTCATTGTGACCCTTAGTAGCACATGCCAGGCCCTGCTGTGCTGGCAGACTCTTCTTCTTCTTTTTTTAAAAATATTTTTATTGATTTCAGAGAGGAAGGGACAGGGGGAGAGAGATAGAAACATCAGTGATGAGAGAGAATCATGGATCGGCTGCCTTCTGCACGCCCCCCCGCACTGGGGATCGAGCCCGCAACCCGGGCATATGCCCCGACCGGGAATCAAACCGTGACCTCCTGGTTCATAGGTCGATGCTCAACCACTGAGCCAGGCCGGCTGGGCCTGGCAGACTCTTCTTACTTCAGAAGAGATGAAGCGTCAGATTTTGACACCTGCAAGGGAAGTTCGCATAATCAATCATCTTCTGTTTTCTTTGAAGGATCTAAAATGGGAAATTATTGCTCTTGACTAGAGGCCACTGCAGGATTTACACAACAAAGAGCAGTGTAATCTTTTGTGGCATTAGAGGATCAAGTGGACTTTGGCAGCACAAAAATATGCCGAGCATGCCTGTTGGTTTACCTATAATGTCTAAAAATAGCCTTCTCCTTTATTTTTGGAGCAGCTAGTGCATGAAAGAGATAAAAGTTATGCGCATGTCTGTATCGGAGTGTAAGTAACTGACTTCTTCTTAAACCGATTGCGTATAACTGCAGTTAACATTCCTGAAAGGAATTTGGTAATAGTACCTCCCTTTGCACCATGCTTCAGTTCACCGCCTGCTCAGAGCTTCTGAGGGAGCCGGGGTGGGGACTCTCCCCCTGTTTGTGCAGATGAGAAAACGCAGGGACTTAACCGAGTTTTTATGGCTTCTTAGGGGATAGAGCCTCATGACTTCTGAGTTCAAGTCCAGTGCTCTCTCAGCCAGATGTTTAGCGGAGAATACAAGCAGGTGCAGGACATCCTGCAGCCCAAGGACAGCTCTAAGCCAAGGGTGCTGGGCTGGAGATTCCAGGGGCTCTTGGACAGAGCTGCGGGCCTGTGCAGCGTCAGGCTGTGGCGAGGCTTGCGGGGGCCATCTGCCGAGACGGCGAAGCTGGGTTTTTTTGCTCTGTATTCTCCGAATGTGAGGAGTGGAGCTGCAGAAAACTGTAGGGCAAAGGGGGTGGTCTTGACTCCAGGTCAGGTCTCTGCCCTTGGTCGAGGCCACATTGAATCTGCCTAAGAAGACAAGGACTCCTTCCCCGGGCCCTGAGGGAGGCCGTGGCTCCTGGCCTCTGGGACAGCTGAGGAGCCCGTTCTGTTGGCTCTCGCCTGACGCAGGTGACCCTGTTTGCCTATTCGGACCTGCTGCTCTTCACCAAGGAGGACGAGCCGGGCCGCTGCAACGTCCTGAGGAACCCCCTCTACCTCCAGAGCGTGAAGCTGCAGGAAGGTAAGTTTATGCCCCAGGTGCCCTGGGCCCTCTCCCCACTTGCCCCAGGGCCACTGCTTGGGGCAGCCTGGATGCTCAGTTTGGGTCCAGCCCCCCTGGTGCTGAGCTGCCAGCTGTCAGTGGGGCACAACATGTGTGGTCAGGTCCTGGCCCTGGGCTGGAGGGTGCTCACACACTGGTATTCCACTCTAGGCTGGCAAGCTTCCCTGTATACCCTGACCTTTGCTGGGAGGTTTCTGTTCCAGAGATGTTTAGGGAGGCTGTGGAGCGAAGTGGGACGAGCTCTGGACTTGGATCTATGTTCAGATCTTGGCCCTGCCCCTCACTACCTGTGTGACCTTGGGCAAGTGACTTAACCACTCTGGGCCTGTTTCCTTATGTGTGAATGTGGGATACCAATAGCATTTCAGGTGGTGGTTGTGAAGAGTAAATTAGGTCTTATGTGTACAGTGCCGGACCCGCACTAGGTGCCCAGTAAATGCTAGTTGTCACCGCACTCACCACACGTATCCGGGACAAGAGACCACGGCTCCTTCCCCGTTCTGCCTGATTGCTTTGGAGCACATGTGGCCGGGGGCTTGCAAGCAGGAGCACAGGGGAGTGTGTAGTGAGCCTCTACCCTAAACTTTCCACCGACGGGAAGCCAGCTGGGAGTATCTGCCTAGCGGTTTGGTTTGGCGCCTGAGGTCTCCGCTGAAAGGGGCTTGATTTCCTCTCCCAGATTATGAAAACAACAACAGACCTGTTTGAGTGTGGGTGACGGGCAGGGAGGAAAATGTTACCCGCGAAAGAATTCTGTTTTGATGGGTTTTGCTCCAGGAAAACTTCCTGCCTGTTTGCAACCCAACCTGTGTGCTCGGCCCCTGCCGGCCTTCCTCCTCAGACACCCGGCAGTGTGAGAACCTCCACTCCCGCCACCCCACAGGAAGTCTTACAACTTCTTCTCTGCCTCGGCCTTCCTCCTGCCCGCTGACCGGGCCAGCACTGAGGGGAAACAGCAAGCCACCTCGCTCAGAGGCCACCCTTCCCTCGGGGCGGGCTCCCCTGCCCAAGGTCAGTGGTGAGGAGCAGCCCTCTGAGCAAGTTCAGCTCAGACCCTGGCCTTGCAGGGAGCTCTCATGGGAGCTGAGAGCTACTGCCCTCGGTTTCCTGCTGCTCTGCCCTTTCCTCCCTCCCTCTCACCAGCTTCCCCTACATGCCCATTGTCAAGTCCTCCCACCCCCTGCGCGCACACACACACACACACACACACACACTGTATAGTCTCTTCCTTCATGCATCTGCCCATCCCCAACTCAGACAGCTCAGCTGTGAGGAGTACTGGGGGGTAGTGCTTGGTAACATGGGCAGATTGATTATAGAACCGAACTCTTATTGGGGGACAGTGCTCATCCTCCTGTGAAAAGGAGGAAGGGAAAAGGAGGGGGGATCAAAGTGGCTGTGCTTTGGGTAGGCGTTGGGATGGGAGCGGCGAGGGCAGTGGAAGAGCCAAGGGTAGCAGCTGGGAGTTTGGGGTCTGGGCTGAGCTTTGCTGCTAGCATGCCATGTGACTTCGGCTGGCTCTTTCTATGTTTTGGGCTTCTGGGGCCAGTCCTTTGTGTCCCCTCCCAGCCCTGATGTGCCCAGACAGACCCTGAGGTGGCCGTGGGGAGCTAGGTAGACAGTGCCTGTATGTCCAGCTTCTGCCCCTCAGGGGGCCTTGACTGGAAATTGGTTGGCTCTCCCCCACCTGAAGCCCCCAGCCTCAAGGTTTGAAGTTCGAGGCTTAGTGAGCGCTGTCCTCCACTGGGTGGTGGATGGTCATGGTAGGTGGTGCGGGGCCTTGAGGCGTTGCACCGATACTTTCCAGATGCTGAGCCCATGTGAGCTACAGCCTCGTGCAGGCCTGGCTTCCTCAGGCTGGAGACCACACCCTCTCCCCGCAGATGGCAAGCTGAGGGTGGCCAAGGCCAGCATTCCTCAGGGGAGATGACCATGCTATTAAAGCCCGTTTGGATTGGCATGGGAGGTGTGCATGTGTGTATGCATGTGTGTGCGCAGGTGTGCTTGCATGCCTGCCCTGGGTCTGCTGGGCAGATGGTTAGGAGCAGACAGATTGCCTTGCCCTTTTCCAGCAGTGTCGGTGAGCAAACACCGAACATGGCTCTCCAGGGAGCCCACGAGCTGCTGAGAGCAAAGGAAATGGCTCAGTGACACTGAGCACTCAAGGTGCGCATTCCGTTGCTTAGATTTCTTTCCAGGCATTGGTGGAGCCCTCACCTCCCCCCTCCCCGCATCCCCTGAGACAGCCCTGTGGGTCCTGCCTGGGGTTCTCAGAGTCCAGTGACCCCTTCTCCTGCAGCCCGAGTTGGAGCTGCAGAACCCAATGTCCTGAACCCTGGCGCCCGATTTCCTGCCCGCCTCCCTTGTGCCCCCAGAGACCCGCTGCGGAGGCCAGGGCCTGAGTGAGGCTTTTAAGAGATGCATCTGGGCCTCAGCTGGAGCTTCTGTTGCAGGAACAATTAACATCGTGCACACTCCTAGGCTTCCTGTTTCTTTCAAAATCAACATGTGTGAAGAGTTCAATTTGGGGCAAAGAAGATGGTAAACAAGGAACACGCCCAGCTTTCCCTGCAGGCTGGGACTGGCGAGGGTTGCTCCCCTGGCGGGGGGGAATCAGCCCCCCTCGGGCACCAAGGGCTCCCTCGGTTGCCTTGTCTGAAGGGTGCTTGTCTCCGCTGGAAAAGCACATTCCCAGGGTCTAGCATGGGGCCCAGAACGTTGTGGGTGCTCAAGGAATGTTTGTTGGCTGAACGCATGAATGACCGAAAGGAGACCGGACGCACTGCCTCAGCTTGGGGGCCGGAGGGCTACTTACTCGCCTGCCCTCCTGTCCAGCTCCCCCCAAGCTTCAGCGGGGCTGCATCGCAGTGTGATGGGAACAGGCGGAGAGCTGGCGCTAACAATCGGGACATCTCCGGTCAGCCAGGGCCCATTGTGGCCTCTTCCTGCTTCTGCCACCCACTGACTTTGCACTGGTTCTTTGTGTTTCTCCCTCCCGGGCGGCCAGCATCCCGCCCACAGTGTGCCTTCCTGGCCTGCTCTGTTCTCTCAGGATGGCCTGGAAATGTCTAGCTGACTCTTGGGCTCTCTATCCACCCTGGGGAGCCAGGTGCCCAGCCTTGGAAGCTCAGCCGCCGAGGTCTCAGCCACTGGAATGTTTGGAGAGAAATGTAGTCGGTGACATTTTCTGAGCACATCCTCAGATTCCACCTCAGCGCTTGCTGCCAGGGGGTGTGGAGGAAGGGGGGCATTTCCACCTCGGGAGCACACGGCCAGTGGAATAACAGAGAAGTAAACTGGTTTGGGGGGCAGAAGTATGACATAGTGGTCAGAACACAGGCTTGGGAGGCAGGGAGTCCTGGGTTCAGATCTCAGCTCTCACTTTCTTACTGTATGCCGTGTACAAGTTGTGTTCCCTCCCTGGGCCTCAGTTTCTGCATCTGGAAAATGGAGACAATAATCCTCTTGGCTTGTCTCGCAGGGTGGACAGGCCTTGGTGAATGGCCGAGTTTGGGATCCCAGTCCAGGCCTGAGAGAACTTTGGGAAATGACTGCAGGGTCAGACCTGGGTGGGAAAGCCCTGCTGGGCCCTACACAGACCCTGACTGGGGATCCTCCTAACGGACCCACACATTCATTAGTGGGAAGCAAGACCCATCCAGGAACCAAATGACTCCTTGCTACATTTCAGCACGGCAAAAGCATTTGGAGCATAGAAACCCAAATGCCCCCGTCCTTTTTCTTTATGTTCACCCCATGTCCACACTCTGGAGAGTCCAGAGCTCAGTCTAAGGCAGCGGTTCTCAACCTGTGGGTCGCGACCCCTTTGGGGGTCGAACAAGCCTTTCACAGGGGTCGCCTAAGACCATCAGAAAACACATATATAATTACATATTGTTTTTGTGATTAATCACTGTGCTTTAATTATGTTCAGTTTGTAACAATGAAATTGGGGGTCACCACAACATGAGGAACTGTATTAAAGGGTCACGACATTAGGAAGGTTGAGAACCACTGGTCTAAGGTTCAGAAGGGTTTCTGGTGGTCCCTCCTGGGTCAGCCACCTTGCAGCCTGCTTTCCCACAGCTGCAGCTCCTTGCTGGCACCCTTGACTCTGGAGGCTCGTCATCCTTTTAGGAGGCTCAGAGCCATGCTGAGCGCTGCCCCCATTCTGTCTTTCCTTCCAAGTGCTGCCAGCACAAGGCCATGAGGCGGAGTCGACTTCAGTGAAGGGTTGGGGTCATGCAGGAGGGCGGTGGTGGGGTGTCACAGCATGGAAATGTGGTCAAGGCAATTGTCCCTCATCATCAGACACGTGTCCTAGGCTGCATTCCCCCAACCTCGGCCTCCTGTGTCTCTGAGGCTCCCAAATCCTGGGCTTTCCCCTCCCTGCTATATAGAGCCTTCTCTTCTCTCAGTGCTAGCTTCTAAACCCACATTTCTGTTATTTTCTTACTTAGACCTCTTTGTTTCTCCCTTGGCACTAAGGTCTGCTCTGGAAAGCCAAGGAAACATCCCAGTGTGTTTTAAACAAAAGAAACCAGCTCCCTTTGTTCCCACCCTCAGCAACACAAAGAGCTGGCAGAAGCTTGGAAATGATGGGGCCCTTAAACATGACAGATTTCTTATCAGGGCTCCCGCCCTCCCAGCGGTATGGGAAGGGAGAGGCGTCCTGGGATGGGTGAGAGCTCCCTGAACCTGGCTGTTGGATGCCCAAAGCGGGCTCCTTGGCTGCCTCGTGGGGGTGCGACCCCAGCGTTCCTCCGGTCAGGCTGACCTGCAGGCAGAGGCCCTCCAGCTGTGTCCCAGCCCGCTAGTCACTAAGTGGCATTTGCCCCAGAGACTTCCCTGTCTCCTGGGCCTGCTTCTCTCTCTCTCCAGGAAGCACCACACAGCCCCCTGGGTGAGGCCGTGCTTGAGCAAACTGCTGAGACAGGAGCCAGTTCTAATGCAAGTCTTACTGTTTGTTCCCGAAGGTCCCTCGGAAGACCTGAAATTCTGCGTGCTGTATCTGGCAGAGGTGAGTCCTTCTCTCTGCCTTTGAGGAGAGATCCGTGACCTGGTGCTTGAGAGGAGCTGCTGGGATAGGTTCTAGTGCAGGGTTCTGATGCCGCCTCCATCCCACCTCGGGCGAGGGGTCCTGGGCAGGTCTGGGCGTGGCGGTTTCCTGCTCGGCCCTGCCCCTGTGTCTCTGACCTTCGTGTAGAAGAGCCGAGGACACTGACCTCCTGCTCAGGACCCCCTGGTCTCCAGCACCTGCAGGGGTCACAGTGATGGTTGCCCATCACCCGATTTATTTGGGAGCCTCTCCTAAGGGTATTGTCAGTGTTTGAAATGGCCTAGAGGTCACTGTACCTTTACCTGAGCCAGACAATACAGGCTAAAGAACACATCACATGTCTGTGCTTTGGGCTCAGTGTGACTGGTAGTCCTGGTTATCTCAGTCTGCACAAAAGCTCAGATGGGCCGTGGTAGGCTTTTGCTGAGCAAAATTGGGCAAACAGCTTATTGCTTAATATGGTTTGGGAGATAAAATATAACACCAAACCAGGGCTTTCATCAGAGGTTCTTGGTGGTGAAAAAAACTGAGAGCTACGACTGAGCCATCAAATTCTTTTCCATTTTCAACGAATTTTTTATTCGCAACCTGTGTCTCTGCTAATATGAGCAGGTGCGCTCTCTGTCCCAAGCAAGGGTTCATTAGACCCTTTCCTGCCCTCTGCTTCTGCTTAGGTCTGTCCCACCCAACAGTCCTGGGAACCTGGGAAAGTCTCCACTGGCCTCACCCTGTGGGTGGGGCCTGGTCTACCCGGCTGGCCCAGAGGAGGCCGCCCTTTTGAGAAGGAGTGTGTGTCATTTGTGATTGAAAATCATGCCTTCAGTTCCTGGCTAAGATAAGAGGTGCAGGCCTCTGGGGAGAAGACGTTTTGATGTTAGCTTCAGGGGAGAGCAGAGAGTTGCAAAGGACAGTGCACATCGTCAGAACTGAGCTAGGGATGCCGGCTGCCTAGAATGGCAACCCGAGGGCCGAAGGCAGTGGGCATCCTCCCCTGTCAGCACATCCACCGGGCCCCGAGAGCAGCTGGCAGAGGCACTGCAGAGGTCGAGGGTGTTCAGTTCTGCAGGGCACAGTAAACAGCTTAGAAGCTGCGAGCCAGGCTGGGGAGAGCCAGAGCACCGGCCCCTCCATGCCCACCCCTCTGGGTCCCATTCCCTCCGGCAGGGCCTGAAATGAAGCTCCACGCTCTTTAATGCCAAGAGGGCTTCCTGCCAAGCTGGGTTTGTTTTTCCCAGAGAAAAGCACTTCTGCTCACTCGTTTCCTGGGAGCTGTGACCTCCTAGGCTCCAAAGACTGATGAAGGGATATTGATCTGGGGCCTTTTATTTCAGTAAAGTGCCAGGTGATCTGACCCCACGGGGCTGGGGGATTGAAGCTCGCTGCCAGCCAGAAGCCTCTCTTTTCTCTTAATGGGCTGCTGCGTAGGAGAGGCATGTCCGTGATGAAGGAAGACGAGAGAGGGCTGCTTGCTCTGTTCCTTGGGACAGGCGTGACACGGTGGTTCTGGACTCCACGGAGAACCCAGAACTCACATCTTAGTTGGAACTTGTGACAAGTTGGTTTCTTTCCATTGCTTAACAGGCAGGTGGTACCCAGAGAAGAAACCAGGGCCAGAGAGTCAGGATTTGGAGAGGGTTTTCCGCTGCCCTGAGAAAGCCCCAATTGCCTGCATGGAAGCTGTTCCGACTGTGCCCCAGCAGCAGGTCCTGGGTGGGTTTCCCCTCAGCAGTCGTTGGCTCTGGGGTCTCTATCCCCCTGGACAAATGTCTCTCAGCACTTGCAAACCCATGGGACAGATGCAGCCCACTACTGGCTTCAGAGCATCTGGGGCATTGGGTCAAAGTGCACGTTGGCTAGGGACCAACATAGCATCTGCTACTGGCTCCATTAATTTCAGTCTGCACTTGGGGTTAAGAAGACCTGGATTTGAATCTTGGCTCTTCCCTTTCCTACCTGAGTGGTCTGGGCAAGTTATACACTCATCTCTGAAACAAGGCCGATGAGGCCTACTTTGCAAGGTTTTTGCAGCGATTAAATGAGATGCATTAAGATACGGTGTCCAAGGCACTTAGCTCAGAGCCTGGCACACAGTGAGTGCTCAATAAATGGTTGCTGTTATTTTGTCAGCTTCATAACAGGAGGAGAGCTTTTCATATTCATTTCCTCTCCATTAGAGTCACTGACCTTTTAAAAAGGAAAGTTAAGAGGAATATCTCACATTCTTTGTAATTAATGTACATACGCAGTTATACAAATGTGGCAAAGTCACAGGCTCTGGGGGAGGCGGGAGACAGACTTGGAGTGCCTCCTCTCCTGAGATCTCCTGAGATCTCCTGGAGCCGCCAACGTGACCTCTCTGAGCCTCTGTTTTCTCATCTGAAAAATGGTAGCAGCTGTGCCTTCCCTTCCTCCCTAGGTGATAGGGTCATTGGGGGAACTGAATTAAAAGAGAGAACGTTTGTCAAAGCAAGTGAACAAATGTAAATTGGAGAAGAAGAGGTTTTCGTTTTTACAAAGATAATAATTTAGGAACAAGGCGGTGAGGCAAGACGGGGGTTTTAAAGAGGCCAAGAGGAGCTGGTTTCTGGATGGCTTGGGGATGCTCATGTTCGAATGGAGAGGGCTGGGCCCGGTGCTGCTTGGCTAACCTCCCCGAAGTCTAGAGGCCCCCCTGTGAATGAGTTATGTGAGCATGCCTGCAGGGTAGCTTACACCCTTGACCCTGGAGGCTGGTACTGAGGGCAGAGTGTGTCTCGGCTGGCAGCTGATGGGTTTAGATCGCACAATGGATTAAGAGCAACAGGTTCACATCCTGCAGGGGCAGCCAGGGCAGCACCGGGGTCCCCGATTTAGACAGACTTAGGCAGATGGCCATTCAGCCTCCCTGTCTCCGTGCTGTCACCCTTGGTCAGGCCAACCTCAGAGCTCTAGGCAGCACCCAAGAGGAGCCTGGGGAGCAAGGGCTTCCTAATAACGTGTACCCGTCTAAGACCACTAGCCACCGGGCCGGGCCTAGATTTAGGGCCTGAGGAGTAGAAGCTTTTCTTGAGATCATGGATGGCAAAGTGCTTTTTAAAACTGGTAATGAGAGAAAAGGAATTATTATCATGGCAGAATTTCTGCTTCAGAGCTGAAAGAGACTCAGGGAGATTAAAGGATTTGCTGAAATCCAGACAGCAAGGTAGAGGCAGAACCCAGGGGGCTCCTGCCAGGGCCAGCTTTGTGGAGTGATGGCCTCTTCCCTGCCTCACCCCTCCCCTCGCAGGGGGAACACAGTGGAGACTGGACCCAGACGGCCTGCTGGTTGTCTCCCGCTCCACCTGACTTCTCCACGGGGCATCTTGGGGTCTTTTGCTGGGTGTGTCCTACCCTGTAGTGGGCTGGGGGTTCTGGGAAGTGGAGGAAGCCTGTGGTTCAGTGATAGGATTGCCTCACCCAACCACCCAGTTCCCAGAAGCCCCGGGGGCAGGGCTTTCTTCTCTTTCTCCTCTGATGCTTTTAGGAAGATCAGCTTCTGAGCACTTTTGAGCTGGAGCGTAATTGCTACACCCAGAGAACATGTAACATGGGAGGTGTCCTCACCCTGAAGGGTGGCACCCCCGAGGGCTGCGTTGGATGGCAGGGTGGAAAATGTTCCTAAATGCTGTTAGAGGATGCCGCAGCCACCCAGCTCGGAGCCTTTGCATTTGCTGTTCCTTCTGCTTAGAACAGCTTCTCCGGAGCACTTTCTTTGCTGGCTCCCGATTGTCCCAGCCTCGCCGGAGGGCTGCCCCTTCAGAGACGCCGCCTCTGGCCACTGGGCTTAAGTGGGCCCTCTCCCTTCGTGGCCTTCTCACAATTTGTAAATGTATTGTTTATTCGTTTATTGTCTGCCCCCAACCTCAGGGCAAGAGCTCTATTTCTCCTTTTTCTCCTTTACCCCCAGGGCCTAGTACAATCTGACACTCAGCAAGTGCTCAGCAAATATGTATTAAATGAAGGAGTGACTGACAACAGCAATATCTGCTGTTTATTGAGGCCTGAGACGACCCTCTTCACTTGCCTCCCAATAGCCCTGAGACGTGGGCGATAGCGTGATCGTTCCCATTTTACAGACTTTCCTGAGGTCATCAGCTAGGAAGTGGTGGAGCTGGCATTCAGGCCAGGCCTGTTCCACTGCACAGCAAGGAAGGACTGCATACAAACACCGTCTTCTCTGTTTCAAGCTGTCCAGCGTGTGCTCTTAGCTCCCTGGCTGAGTTCATCTCATCGCAGCCCTGGGAGGTTATAATCAAATTCCAGCGGAGTCAGAAAGCTCCTAATCCCCTGACCAGAGTGTGCTGCAGTGGATGAGAGCGCTGGGTGTGCTGTACCGCCCCTCCCCGCCCAGCACATTCTGACTGCCCAGGGCTCGCTCCCTGGGTCTCAGCAGCTCGCTGGTGCTCAGGCCGGGCTGCCCTGGCTTTGACCTCCTTCCGGAAGTCCCTCCAGGGAGCCAGAGCTTACCGAAGCATTGCTTGCCAAGCACGGTGCTAGGTCCAGATGAGAAAGGCCTTCCAAGAAGGAGTGTCTAGTCCGGTTGGGGAGATGAGACTGCAGCACTTAACGAGGTTAAAGAGCAAAGCGGGATTTACATGACAGCACAGCCAGAGGCTGCTGTCGCACTCAGGGGAGCTGAGCAGTCATGGATCAGACCCAGCTCATAGGCCAGGAAGTAGTGGGGCTAGAGGCCACATGACGGCGCCTACCAAAGACTTGCCAAAGGCTTCTGTTGGTGTGCCCTCCAATCACCCATCTAACCTTGGCTTAGTGACTAGATGAGTGTGCCCTCGGCGGGAGAGGGGGTCCTGTGCGCTGGAGGAGGGGGGTCCTGGCTCCACAGAGCATCAGAAGGGCAAAGACCTTGGCACTCTGGGTTCCCCACATGCTCTCCCAGCTGCTGCTTTGTGCTGCCTGTCTCCGGGGGTGACCTCACCATTTCTGTTCTGTGGCTCTCCATAGGCCTCCACTGTGCTGGGAACCACTGCCTCCCTCCCTTCCCCCAACCTGTGGGCACAAGGCTCGCCAGCTGGCCCCCGAAACAGCTTCCCTGCTCCTCTGGTTGCCTTGATGCCACCAGGGATTCGTGTGCATTTGTAGCTTTTAGTGGGCACTCCCCTCCCTGCTGCAGCCTCACCCTCTGGAGCCCAGGGATGGGCTCGGGCCTGGGAGCCCCCAGAACCTGGGAGCAGCCCTGACCGTCCCTTTCTCTGTTTTCCCTGACGTCAGAAGGCAGAGTGCTTATTCACTTTGGAGGCGCACTCGCAGGAGCAGAAGAAGAGAGTGTGCTGGTGCCTGTCAGAGAACATCGCGAAGCAGCAACAGCTGGCGGCCTCGCCCCCACAGAGCAAGGTAAGGGTGTCGCCAGGGGCTGCAGCCCCGGCTGCCCAGCTTCCCTTCAGGGGCCTGGACCCTGGGGCCTCTGAATCGAGCTTGGGACCCGTCTCAGCTCAGGACTTGGATCTGGACAACGAGCTCCTGGCAGGGAGGCCTGTGCCTGAATGCCTCTGCCCCGGGCACCTCACTGGGGCTACGGAGTGGGTTTCATATTGCTCGGGTAGAGTGACAGAGCCAAACTGAGCATGACCCATCAATTCTCGGCTCTGTTCTTGGGTCTGCCCATGGCAAGGTCTAATTTGGACTGGCCTCCCTGCTGCTGCCGGGCATGTGGCGCCTCTCTGCCGTTGGCGAGCTGTGCCATGGGCAGCACACTGGTGTTTAACGCTGGCCCAAGGCAGACATACTCGGGAGGGGATGTTTGCGGCAGATGCTGCTCTAGTTTGAGCAGGTCACAGCCCACTGGAGCCAAGTGGAGTTTGCTGGAGGGGTTGGGGGGGGGGGGCAGCCAACTGGAGCATCAGGGGAGATGAGAGACTGCCACCTGAGGCTGCCCTGGAGCAGGCCCCTCAGCTGGCCCCGTGCCTGTGGAGGGGATAGGATGGGAGCTGACCTGTGTCACCCGGGGGCCAGCCACAAGGCATGGGTGTATTTCCCCATGTGTGAGTCGTCAGGTACTTCTCTTGCTGAAGGGCTGGCCATTTGGGGATTTGGCCTGGTTGGCTGTAGGAGCCAAAGTGGTTGGTCTGCTGGACGGGGGAGACGAGGATAATGGAGGGTAGCTGTCTGTAAACTCCCTGGCCTTGTCGTATCTTCCTGATGCGGTTAAGCCCATCGTGCCCTGGGCAGCAGGCATATGGTGGAGGCAGTGGCGTCTGCTGAGGGCAGAAGGTGGGGGAGAGGTGTCTGGGCAGTGGTGCACAGCCTGGGTAAGCGCCTGGGAACTTCACAATCTCAGACCTGACAGCTATCGTGTTTCACACTAGCCGGGGGCCAGGATAACTTTGATGAGGGAGGACTGTGGGAAAACATGGACTTTGGTGTGCCAACATGCTGCTGACTGGTGGTATGACCTTGAGCAAGTCACTATACTAACTTAGAGCTTTGCTATCCTCATCTCAAAGGGTGGTTGTGAGAATTAAAGGAGATGTTGCATATACAGTTCATAGCACAGTGCTTGGTATGCAGTAGGCACTCAGTAGCTGTGGGCAGTGCACTGCCCCCACCTCCGTCAGGGCTGCTTGTTGCGTCCTGGCTGGCTGGTTCCCACAGTCAGATTCTTACTGAACAGAGACCCGTGGAGGCTGGAGGCTGGAGGCTGGAGGCTGGAGGTTGGAGGGTGCCGGCTGCCTGGAGCTCTCGATCCCGGGTTGGTTATAGTCAGAAGCCAGGCCACTCCCTATTCACTGGGGCAGCCCCTGGGATGTTGCATGGCCGAACTCATGTCCTCCAGGTTTCTATGTCTTGGGTTTAACTCCTTCTGGTTCAGGGGAAAGAGTTCTTTCTGCCCAGCTTCAGAGTTCCTGGGCTTGGAGTGTGTTCGCAACAGCCTCTCAGTACCTTGGGGAGTGTTGAGACTAAAGTAGCTTGCGTTTCTGTGACACACTCTGGTCCCTGCAGGGCTGCGGGCGTGGCTGACTGAGCCTGGAAAGGCCCCGGGCTTTGGGGCCCGGCCTCTGGGCCACACCAAGATATATGAGCATCCTGGGCAGGCAACAGTTGGTCGCCTCTTCAAATCAAAACTCCTTAAATGTGTGTCTGATGGACAAGTTGTATGCTGGGCAGGAGAAAGGTAAAGAAGGAGAGACCAACCGCTGGGATAGTCTCAGAACTGCCTCTTCCCCTGAGACCTGGGCCCACCCCAGCCTTGCACACCCCACTTGGCCCACCCTCCCTAGGAGACACTTGTGTAATCATCTTATTCGACAGGGCCCTTGGGGGGGGGGTCTCACTGCCCAACTTTACCCACTCCCACCAACACACTAAAGAGCCTTAGCAGCTTACTCCTGCTGGTCACTCCCTGAGGAAAGTTGGGTCAATATGATTTTCTCCAGCCCCATATAGTTGTGGCAGGGCTCTAGGAACTTTAAATGACTCGGCCCAGGTGGCTGCCCCCTGTGCTCAGCTCCATCAGGTCCTGGCAGCCTCAGGTGGCTGTGAACTCCTTGCCAAGGGCTGGGCCGCCACAGCCTTTCCACGGGGGTTGCTGTCCTCCAGGGGAGAGAGAAGAGGGAAGGCCAAGCAGGGCTCAGACATTGACTTCTTGCTTTTTAAGTGGAGTCCTGCTTGACCAACTTGTCCTGACTGAGCAGCACGCCTTTCTTAATGTCTTTTCTTTGTTCTTTCTGGAGTGCTCCGCCTTCTGCTGCATAATGGAAGCCACTGCCCAAGCCCCCCCCCCCCCCCACACACACACAACCTCCCCCCGCCCCCCCCCCCCCCGACTCAAATGCCTCTCTGGGGAAAGAGGGTTTATCAAGGCAACTCCCCACACTCCTATGCTGCTCCTTCTCAACCTCATTCCTTTCACCAGTGTTTGCTGACACCTTTGAACGGAGATTCTTCAAACATTTCAGAGATTGCAAAGCTTTCCCCAGATTCGCAAAACATAATAAATGCGATGTGCCCTGAACGTGAAATGCTCGTTGGGAAGGACGGAGGGAATTGGAGCAAGATGGAGTCAAAGGACACTGCCTGCGGTGTGTCCTCTGGCAGCCACTTCCCGCGTGGCCTCCGGGGTTCCATCTGTGCATTGGTCTGGTGGCTCTTTCCAGCTCTTCAAGCTTTGCGATTCTGGCCACTCACAAGAGCTGAGGACCTGGGGTCATCCGGTCTCCAGCAGGGAATTATACCCTAAAGATGTGGCATTACTTGACTGCCTGTGAAATCTGCTGTCTTAGGGGCCAGGTCTGTTTCTCTCTTGGAGGTGGGAAGGGGCAGGCACAGGCTTGCGGCGCTGCCTTTGAGGTGCCGGTGGCCTGTGGGTTGCAGGGTGGGGGTTCCAGCTGTGGCAGGGGGGACACAATGAGGCCGGCAGCAGGTGGACTGCATTTCTTCTCTGGGGAATCCACTGCCTTTTTCTCGCTTGCTATTAGCTGACCACCGTAGGTAGGAGGCTGCTGGGGCTGGCCTGCGTGCTCTCCATCTTTCTGTAGAAATAAATGGCTCACTCCCTCCACTCTCCCAGCCTCTGTCTTCTGCTCACCACTCCCTTCTTCCTCGTTATCTGTCCCCTCTCTCGCTTCATTATCTATCCCTAGAGGGAACCTACCTTTCTTCTTCTGCCTGGGATACGTTTTACTAAACTCCCTGCACAGGGCATGCTGCCATGCATCTCATCTAGAAGAACTCAGAGGTGGTCTTCCCCGTGGCCACTGAGGTTTGAAGCTAGTAAGTAGGGCAGACAGATACACATGACTTTGGTTATTCAATCAAATATACATAATAAATGCCTGCTCTGTGCCAGACACTTGTTTAGGTCCTTTGGGGTCATGGAGATGTACAAGACCTGATTCCTGTCCTATGGAAGTTTCCTTTTATTAGACGGGTGGTTCTCAACCTTCCTAATGCCGCGATCCTTTAACACAGTTCCTCATGTTGTGGTGACCCCCAATTTCATTGTTACAAATTGAACATAATTAAAGCATAGTGATTAATCACAAAAACAATATGTAATTATATATGCGTTTTCCAATGGTCTTAGGCGACCCCTGTGAAAGGGTCGTTCGACCCCCAAAGGGGTCGCGACCCACAGGTTGAGAACTGCTGAATTAGACAGACGTGACAAGGACCAGAGTGGCAATCTGACTATTAAAGGCGGTGCCTGGTGGATCCTAAGAGCCGTCTAGTGGGGTCATGGCTGCACATTTGTCATCTGTTCCATGAACCACCACTGAGCCCACCTTGTGTACAGCTTTGGGCTGGGCACCGGGAAGCCTCTGAGGAGGGTAGGTTTTTGACTGAGCCATCAGGGATGAGAAGGGGGCGCGGTACAGCCTGTTCTACTCTGTTCTCAGGGCATGCCCTGGGCATGACGGTGGCAATGCATGGATGAATCTGTCACGCCCTTTCCTTGCGAGATCACAGTCCAGCGGTGGAGGCAGATATGCCAACAGGTCATTCAAAAATAGCATAGCAGGCGATGAGGGAGAGACAAACTTTCCCGCTCTGCGGCCTCAGGCAAGACACTGAGCCACTCTGAGACTCAGTTTTTTTTTTATCAGCAAAGTAGATGGATTAATAGGGTTCTTGTGAGGATTAGGCTCATGCCATGTGCTTAGCAAAGCGGCGCACAAGAAGAACTCTGTGAATTATGATGATTAATCAAGTCATGTCTATATAGGAAGATTCCTCTAGTGGCCTTGTTTATTGAAGCTGAATGCTGCTGCTCTGAGCGCCTGTGACGACTGCTCCACGTCACTTCCTGTACCAACTGCTGTATGCCAGGGATCAGGCAGGGAAACTGAGGCCTCCTGGGCCTGTTCTGGCTGTGAGACGTTTCCCAGATGTGATGCTGAGGTGTGCCACCTTGTCATCTCTACTGGGCAGCTAGACGGGGCCCTGGAGATGCCAGGATCTGTCTCAGCGCCGTAGAAAGGAGCAGGGGCAGGTTCTGGAGTCGGGCAGCCCAGGCCTGAGTAGATGGCAAGCTAATTCCAGTTCTGTCTGGTTCCACAGAAACTCCACCCTTACGGCTCCCTCCAGCAGGAGATGGGGCTGGCCAACTCAACCAATGCCACCCAGGATAGAAGCTTTACCTCATCAGGACAGACTCTGATTGGCTGAGCAAACCCAAAGGCCGGACTCTGCTTCTGGCAACTTAACCCTTTCTTGGGCCTCCCCTACCACACAGTAACCTCACCTCTACTGGACCCAAAACTGAGGACCAAGATGGTGGGCCTAGGGTCATCTGAAGGGAGCAGCCCCACAGGTGTGTGTGGACTGGCATCAGAAGGACTGCAGTGGTGTGAGAGGCCCTCAGGGCACCTGCAGACTGGCATCAGAAAGTCCTAAAGGAGAAGACTCAGAAACTTATTTCCTACAAGGAAGAAGGAGGTGAAATAGCATCTGGGCTTCTGGTGGTTCCAGCGCCTGCCTTGGGGGCAGCAGGAGAGCTTGGGAGGTCAGCCCCAGTGGAGAACAATGCCATGACCCTCCACTGCCAGAAGACATCGCCACCCATTCATTCATCTGTACTCACTCATTCATTCCTTCATTCAACAGATATTTGGGGGGCCATCTACTTTATACCAGGCTCTGTGCTAGGACCTGGGGATACTGTGGAGAATGAGATGGACATGGTCTCTGCTCTTATCAAGATTTCAGTCCTAGTAGGGGAGTCACATTAAATAAATGAACATGAGCGCGCGCACACACACACACGCACACACACACACACTCATGTGATTACAAACTGTGATAATCTAGGAAGTAAAAGAACAGATTCCTGTAAGAGAGAATATTATTTAGATTTTGTGTGTGTGTGTGTTTGTGTGTGTGTGTGTGTGTGTGTGTGTGTAGTGTGTGGCAGGGGAGACCATAACTCTTAAGCTGGGACCTGCAGGTCAGAAAATGGACTTAGCCACTCAAGGACTTTGGAAAGAGTGTCCCAGGCATATGGGACAGGCTGGGTAGAGGACCTGAGATGGGAAGCTTGGCCTTCAGGAGGAATGGGGCCAGGCCCCTGTAGCTGGAGCTCAGTGAAGAGGCAGATAAGGCGGTTGGGGGCCATATTGCACAGGGCTGTGGTTGTTAATATTTTATTTTTATTTTTTTGTTATAGATACAGTGGGCAGTGAAGGCTTTGGAGAAAGAGGGTCATAGAGTTTCAGGCACATTTCTAAAAGATCAGTCTCAGGAGGGGCCCAACTGGCTCTGAGATCAGTTAGGGGTCCCCTTAGACCTCCAGGTTAAGGGTGGTGGGGGCCTGTCCTCGATGGTGGCTGGGGAGATGGGGATGTGGTAGAGGCTCTGGAATGAGTAGAGAGAATTTCCTATTTCTTCGCCCCTTCCCACTCCTCCACCGTGCCTTGCTCCCTCAGTGGATGCAAGAGAAGATTGGGGCCTTCCTCCCAGACCCCCTCCTGGCCAGGCCTGGGTAGGGACCAGTGCTGAGTTCTGGGAATGTCTCTGGGAGTTGGAAGCAGTAGGCTTTTGAGAAAGAGAGTCAAAAGGTGGGAAGTTCACAGCCCCCAGGGCTTACCTGTGCTGTCCCTCCATCCTATGATGAACAGCCTGATTGGAAGCTGGAACACAAACCTCTGGAAATGGATTTGGTTTGTTTTCTGCAGAGCTCCGAAGGTCAGGGCCCAGGGCGAGGTGTGGCTCAGCATTCCACAGGACACTGTCCTGCCTCAGGGCTAAAGAAAGGCCTATCAAGGGGACAGTGCCTAGAGCTCAGCCTGCTCCCTGCCTGCTGCACCCCCCCCCCCCCCCCCATGGAGCCCAGGGTTGGGCAGCTCTCACACCCTTTCCTAACTGCCCAGACCTAGGATGAGGACAGCCCAAGGCTGCAGGTGTGAGTGACATAGCTTATGCATGAGGGAGGTGTATAGGTCAGGCTCACTTGCATGGAAAGGGGTCAGAGAGGCTAGAAGCTCCATACCCCGGACAGTCTGCGTGGTGTCCTGTAAGACCTCTGACATGTCTTTAAAGAGGGGCCTTGTGCCCTGGTGAGTTTGCTCCACTGTGGTAGCCACTGGAACCCCTAAAAGCGTGGCCCAGATGAGAATTCTTCCCTTACCTCTCACTTACCCCCCCGCCCCCCAGTCTAGGAAAGATGGGGCATGTGGCCTCAGCAGTCTAACAGGGGATGGCATGTATCTGCTCACGACCAAGCCAGTCCCTCTGCCCAGCAGGGAATAGACTGGGGCTGAAGTGGGACAAGGGATGCACTGTCTGTCAGCCAGGACTCAGCCGCGGGGTTAATTCTGAGAGGCTGCGCAGCTGGGTCTGCACAGACAGTTCTGCTGCTGCACTTTGATTTCATTTGATTCCCTTACAAAATGACATTAAGGGGAATGTAGGGCACAGGAGATTCGCCTGTCTGGGAAGAGAGCAAGCTTGTCTCTCTGGGACCTGGGACCTCCCTCTGTCCACCAGTCAGATGCAGAGGACAGGAGTTCTGGGCACCGGGAAACGGAGGCTCCGAATGCAGCACCCAGCCCTGGGACACGGCTTCTTCCCCAGCTCGTCTCAGTAAGCTGCTGAGTTGGGTGTATGTTCACATCAGGGTCCTTGGCCCCGCCAGCTGTTGGGGAAGCAGACATCAGCTCCTGAAGGACCCCGTCTTTCCAGGGACTGTGGTCAGCGTGCCATGGCTGCTCTGCCTCTCAAATCGAGGATATCATTCATTTGACTCCAGGAGCTTGAGAAGATGCAATTTGACTGGTGGCCACCGCTCTTCAGCACCCCCATCCACCCCAGCCATCCGGGAAGACGAACAAGCTATCAAAATTGCATTTGAGAGTCATAATCACGGGAAACACAGCCGAGCCCCTCCCTCCACATAAATCACCCTAAGAAGCCCACACAATGCTCTCTTTCCTGATGGGCCAATTGTCTTGGTTTGGTGTCTCGGGGCCTAGGAGCTGGGAGGATGGGAGCACAAGCATTTATTGTTGAAAAGGCCATCTGTGTGATTTGAATACAAAGTGATCCTTGTAGTTCCCAGTATACCCTCTGTACCCTCTGATCCGTTTTCATGTGTCTCGGGCTCTGGATTTTTTTGAAACTCTCCTCTCTTCTGTACTCAGTCACGCCCGGGACTCTGCTGGCCCTGGGTCTTTTGGCCCTTTGGGAGTTGGGACCTGTTGGAAATAATGAGGACAATAATTTATATCTAGTATTTTTATTCTTTGTTTTAATATTTTTAAAAATATATTCTGCCACCAGAGTCTTCATTTTTCACACATGTTACCATGAGGGTTCTGTAAAGGGAGGTGCAGGCAGTTTCACAGTGTGGGAGGGCTCCCCACAGGGAGAGCATGGGCTTTGGAGATGGTAACCTGGGACCCCAGGCCTTATCTCCACTAGGCCTCCCAGCTTTCCGATGAAAGGGACTAGGATTCAGAGATGTTAAGTGATTTATCTAAGGTCACACAGCTGGTAAGCGGCCGAGCTAGTTCTCAAGCCAAGGCCTTTGAACTTAACCCATTGCTCTTTCCAATGTCAAAAAAAAAATTGTCTTTTTGGGATGAGAGTGAGAGAAATCAGTCATCTCCTCCAGGAAGAGGCAGGAGGGGGCTCTCCTGCAGGTAGAAGTTGTGGCCTTTTAAGCTTTTATTTGTCCTAAGCTTTAGGACAAATGAGTTGAAATACAATATTCTCTACGCCATGGAGAATGAACTTCCGGAGTTCACATTCCCGAGGGGGGGCCCAGGCTGAAAGGATCAATAGCTTCACACAAGATTTGAAAAGTCTGATATAAAAGACTGGTGGAGCTCCTTAAGACAGGCTGGGGGTGGGGGCCTGGCACTGGGACTATGGGGTGACGCCCTTCCCCTTTTGAGTCTGGCATTCAAGAGGACCAGCTGACAGCCCTGGGGTACGCGGCAGCAATGGCACGTTGGCCAAAGGCAGAAAAGGATGGCTTCAGCTTCAGGCCAGGTGCACTGGGCAAGAGTCGGGAAGGAGGCCTTTGGCCCGAGCCCTGTCGAGGGCGGGGAGAGACTGTTCCAGGTTCCGGGCCCAGATCTTGCTAATTGACTGGTTTCAAATAAACTCTAAGTAACTGGGAATCAACTGGACAGGATTTCAGATATTCCCCCGAAGAAGCAGACTCTTCCCTAAAATGCTCAGTTGTTTTCCAGTCTCTCCAGCTCCCCTCCACCTCCTTGCTGCCTGTCTGCCTGTGCGTAGACTGCCTTCTTTGAGTCTTACCCTTGGACTCAGCCATCTTGTCATTCCTTTTCTAGCTCTTAACAAAGACAGCGCAACCTGACCATCTACCCTGTCTTGAGCTTGTCTCCCCTCAAGCCTTTCTCTGAATAGGGTCAGCATCCTCCAGATTGTTCCCAGGCCCTAGCTGGTTTTGCTCAGTGGATAGAGCGTCGGCCTGCGGACTCAAGGGTCCCAGGTTCGATTCTGGTCAAGGGCATGTACCTTGGTTGCGGGTGCATCCCCAGTGAGGGGTGTTCAGGAGGCAGCTGATCGATGTTTCTCTCTCATCTTGATGTTTCTAACTCTCTACCCCTCTCCCTTCCTCTCTGTAAAAAATCAATAAAATATATTTAAAAAACAAAAACAAAACAAAAAAACACAAATTGTTCCCAGATCTTTGGTTTAAGGGTAGAACAATAACACTAGGTAATTTGGTGAGCATGTATACTGGGAATCTGGCCCAGTGCCAAGCTTTCGAACTACATTTGTCGCTTCAATCCTCATTTCAGCCTCATGGGGTTCATTGCCCCGTTACACCTTTACCCTCATCATACCAGTTGATATATGAAGGCGCTATCTTAGAGAAGTTAAGAACCTTGCCCAAGGTCACACAGCCAGTGGGCTGCTGGGATTGGTACTTGGGTGGCCCAATTCCAGAACACCTATTTTTGATTGCTTTGTTTGTACTGCTTTCCAGCAATCATGCACCACCCAAGGTGAAAGTGAAGGGGTGGCTGAGCAGCCACAGTCCTGCTTCAAGGCCAGTGTGGGAGGCCCTTGTCTTCAGAATCACGCTCGGGCCTCAGCTGGGTTCTTGGGGTTCTCCCTGGCTGTACTGTGCTCCTGCTTTGTGCTCGCACCCTGGCCACACTGGACTCTTTCCCCTTCTCCAAGTCCCCCAGGCACATTCGTGTTTAGACTGCGTATTCTGTCTAATGTTGCCTGTCTGCCTTGTTGTCTCTGATGGATGCAATTCCCGACCTTCAAGGCTTGGCACCTCCCTGAGACACCTTCCTCAGACTTGCATCACAGGTCATGGCTTCTTCCCCTTCTGCGTTTCCACAGTATTTGGTTCATTCTCAGCACTGTGTGTGTGGTAGGCAGATGTGCCTCACCTGCGAGGCTGTGGGCTCTTTGGAAGCCAGTGGAGGCTATATCTTATTTATTTTTCTGTTACTGCCTGGCCCTTAGACGATGTTGTAGAATTAAATTGGGTCACACAATTCAAACCTCTCATGTTCTAGAATCTGGATGAGGAAACAGAGGCTCACAAACAGGAAGTGGCCTGGCCACGGTCATGGGACAAGTTAGTGGCAGAGCTAGGACTAGAACTCAGGTGTCCCGACTCTCTAGGCTCCGAGCTTTTTTCTGTTGCACCTCCGCTTTGCAAGACCAGAGCCTGGGTCCCCACTTGGTTTATTAAGCAACCTGTCCAGGTTCACTTCCGGCTCATGGATTCCATCTTATTCCATGCTGACTCCTGCATGTCCTCAGAGAGAAAGAAGCCCTGATCAGAACTGTTCCTGTGGTTCTCTTCCCCTCTCGCCGAGCCCATTGCCCTCAGAGTAAACTAGCTTAGGATTTTGAAGATGTTGGTTCAATCCTGATTTTCTGGTAACTCACTGTGTGACTTGGGGCAAATTTCTTCACCTCTCTTCAACACAAAACCACAATTGGGGATACAGTATTTATTTTATGAGTGATTAGAAATTTGACAGAACCGTACAATCTTTGTGGAACTGAAAAGTTACCCCCACGGAGATCAATTGATAACAAGCTGATTTGTAGAAACTAAGACCAAGAGAGGCAAGAACTTGGCCAAGGGCATATGGTTGGTGCCAGAGCTGGAACTAGGACCCAACCCCCTACCTTCTAGGCCAGTGCTCCTCGTTAGTGATTTTTGAAGTTTGCCAGGTTGGGAGGAGGGCGGGACTCAGATTGTCTTAGAGATGCTCTCGTCAGCTCTCTCTCTGCTGTGTTGTCATTAGGAAAAGTAAGTCACCCTTTTGGGCTGAAAAGGAAATAGTGAGAAATGGCCCAGCGGCTAAACGCGTGGGCAGCGGCTGTCTAGGAGGCTGACTTGTCTCTAAATTCCTGGCGTGCTCTTGCTGGAGTGGAATGAATGAGGCTGCTGTATTTCACCTGGAGGTTGGAGCCGGGCAGGACTGGCGGAGAAGCTCCCCGTGGTCTGCTCTAAAAATAGCAATGGGATCAGAGCTGAGGGGAAGAGGAGGGGGCTCCTTCGGGAGCTGGGTGGGACCTCACCCCCTTCCTCTTCCTGCCAGGCCCTTTGTGAGGAAGTGCCGTAGAGTCAGAGGATTTAGATGTGGGAGGGTCCCGGAGCATCAGCCCTGACACAGAAGGGGAGGCTCTGGAGGCCCGGAGAGGGGAAAGGACTGGCCAGCAGCCACTGAGTCCCGGGAGAAGGTCCCAGAGGCAGGCTGTCTTCCTCCTGCTGTTTCAGCAGGGCGGCTCCAGGCCCTGTGAGGTTTTCTCTCACTGCCTTTGGGCGAGCACAGGGCCTGGGAATTCCTGGGGCCGGATGTGGTTGGGCTTCCTGAGAGTCGCCCAGCAGGCGAGGAGTCCCCCTCTAGTCTGCCCGGAGCCCTGACCTCAGCCAGCTGGCCTTCCAGCGCCACGCCTTCCCTTTACGGGTGTCCCTATCCTTGCTGATTTGCCCTTCTTTCGCCCCCTGGACTGTCTGCAGGGAGAGGGTACAAGGCGGGGGCATAAAACTGGTCCACGGGACAGAGGGTCTAGTGGTCTGGGACCTCTTTTCTGCCCTGCCCCAGGAACGAGCAGAGGCAGCTAAGGGTTTAGAGGCAGGGCCTGGGTTTAGAAGCAGGCAGGCCAGGGTTCAAATGCCAGCTGGGCCTCTCACCAGCTGTGGAATTACTGGTGGGTCACCTAGTAAAGCAGGATAAATCAGTCAATCTATAGTTGTGCTATATAACCAGTACTATAGATTGACTGATTTATCCTGCTTTGCTAGGTGACCCACCAGTAATGACACGAGGGCATCTACCTCACTGGTTTCTTGTGAGGATTCAAGGGCTGGGTGTGCAAGTGCCTGGCATGTAGAAGGTACTCGGTAAAGGTGGCTGTCATCACTAGGTCAAGCATGAACATGAGCTCAACTCTCTGCAGCCCCTTCCTTGCGGCCTCCCCCAGGGTGTTTGCTTTTAATGCAGTTGACTTTTTTGTCATTGTGTTGTTGCAAAAGTTACTCACGTTCATCACGAAGAAAACATTTAATACAGATGAACCAGTAGAAGGAAATGAAGTTCACCCTTAATCCCAACACCCAGAGATAGCCACTGTTAACATTTTTGGGTATATCCTGTCAGGCAATTGTTTATACACACACATATCTGATTTGCAAATTGTAGTTACTAGTGCACACAATTTTCAAACTTGTTTTTTCCCCCATTTAACAATGTAGTGTATCCATGTTTCCATGTCAATAAATGTTCCTCTACAGCATCATTTTTAGTGCCTGCAGAATATTTCATTATGTAGATCATGGGTGGGGCACCATTTTTCTGCCAAGGGCCATTTGGATATTTATAGCATCATTCTCCGGCCATACAAAATTATCAACTTAAAAATTAGCCTGCTATATTTGGTCAAAAATTTAATTAACATACCTCTAATGCCTTGGCAGGGCTAGATGAAATGATTTCCCGGGCCTTATACGGCCCATGGGCCGGACGTTCCCCACCCCTGGTATAGATGAAACAGGCTTTATTTAAATAGTTTCCAGAAGTTTAACATTTAGGTTGTTTCCATTTTTACAAAAACTTGATATTTAACAAATCCTTGTGGGTATATATTGGTATCTCCAGCATCTAGTGCAAATGATTGACCCTCCACAAATATTTGATGAATGAATGAATGAATATTTTGTGGGAATAAGTTCCTGGTAGTAGGATTTCCATGTCAAAGAGTGTGTATTTGTAAAAAAGGTTCCTGATATCTGTTGCCAGTGACTCTCCAGATCGGTTGTGCTATATAACCAGTACTATAGATTGACTGATTTATCCTGCTTTGCCCAGAACGTTGCCTTTTTACCACCGAAAGTTCCGCTTCCTGGGAAACCCTTTAGTCCCCAGCAAACTAAACCAGTCTGGGTAAGAGAATGCCCATTTCCCCACTCCCTCACCAACACTGTGCATTGTTACATTTCTTTTAGTAGGCTCATTTTTGGATTACTAGAGATGTTGAATATTTATTTATATGCACTTTTGTTACTTATGTTTTGTGAGTAGCATGTTCAAGGTATTTTTGTTCATTTTTTATTGGGTGGTGTATAGTTTAATCAGGAGTTCTTTATATAATGAGGACATTTGTGTTAGTCTTTTATTTTTTCTCATTTTTAAAATTAAAAATGTTTTTTATTTATGGGTAATCATATCTCTAAATTGCTTTGATAGTTGCTTTATCAAGAAATTATTCACATATACAGTTTATCTCCTAAAAGTATACAATTCAGTGGGTTTTCAGTACCATCACCACAATCAATTTTACAATATTTTCAGTATCTCCCAAAGAAACCATACCCTTTAGCGATCAACCTTTATCTAGAGAAATAGAAACATCAGTCATGAGAGAGTATCACCAATTCTCTCATCTCCTCCAGCCATAAACAACCACTAATCCATTTCTGTCTTTATTGATTTGGACATTTCATATAAATAGAATCATAGTGTTTGGTCTTTTGTGACTGGCTTCTTTCATTTCACATAATGTTTTCAAGGTTCATCCATGGTGTAGCATGGGTATCACTCCTTTTTATGGCTGAATATTATCCCGTTACGTGGATCTACCACATTTTGTTTATCCATTTACCGCTTGATGAACATCTGGGTTGCTTCCACCTTTTGGCTATTATGAACGATGCTGCTATAGTCGTTTGTGTGACAGTTTTAGTGTGGACTTGTGTTTCCATTTCTCTTGGATATATACGTAGGAGTGGAATTTCTGGGTCCAATGATAACTCTATGTTTACCTTTTTGAGGAACTGCTAGACTGTTTTCTAAAGTGGCTGCATGATTTTATATTCCCACCATCAGTGTATGAGGATCCCGATTTCTCCACATTCTCTCTAACACTTATTATTTTCCCATTTCTTAAATTAGACCCATCCTACTGGGTGTGACGTAGTATCTCATTGTAGTTGTGAATTACATTTTCTGATGACTCATATCATATCTGTTCATTTTAAAAAATATTTTTTCCTTTGG